GTGATTCCGGCTGTGAAAGCCTTCAACAATGCAATGTACCAAATGTTTGCATGGGAAAGAAGGAAAGGCCAGTACACGGTGAAAGGATGCAAGCTCACCTTGGGTATGTTTTCCCCTTCCTTCCTTCCTTCCTTCCTTCCTTTTTTCTTTCTCCTTCCTTCCTTCCCTCCTTCCCAAAGAGTTCTCCTTTCCCTTGCCAAGTGCTGAATGAGTCAAAACATTTGCTTCCTTTGCCCAAATGCAGGGTTTTTTGGCTGAGCCACCTCTTAGGACAAGTTCCAGCTGTTTAGCACAGCAGAATGCAGATTTGGAGCAAACAGAAGGAAGCAGGAAGAGAGAGTGATGCCCACCGACTACCAACAACCACCACTCTGGGATCAGAAGGAAGAATCATCACAACACCCAACGTCTTGGTTGTCAGGCTATGGGGCTAGTTTGGCCAATCAACAGCTCTATTGGGCAAAGAGGGCTAAAGGCCTTGTCAAACTACATCTCCCATGATTCAATGGCCTTGAGCCATGGCAGGTGCCCAACTCAACTCATTCTACAACGAAGATGAATCTCGAGTTTCGTGAGGCCTTCTTGGACAAACAATAATGGTGCCTCCTCAAACTACAACTCCCAGCATCCCACTGCACTGATCCAAGGCAGTTCAAGGGATATCAAACCGCATTCATTCCCCAATGGAGATGCACGCAATACCACCCCAAACTGCAGTTCCCAGGAGCAGTAGGCCTCAATGCTATTTGATCATGAGAGTTGTAGTTTAATGAGAGGTTGGATGCATCTTCATTGTAGAATGAATTATTATTATTATTACAAATAATGATAGGTTGGGTACATCTTCAATGTAGAATGAATTATTATTATTATTATTATTATTATTATTATTATTATTATTACAAATAATGAGAGGTTGGGTGCATCTCCATTGTACAGCATTGAAGAGACACACAATACCTCCCAAAAAACTACAACTCCCATACCACTGACCCAGGGCAGTTTAAAGGGGGATTAAACTGAGTTCATTCTCCAATGGAGATGCACACAATACCTCCCAAACTACAACTGTCAGGCTCAAATAGCATTGAAGACACACACACTACCTCCCAAACTACAACTCCCACAGCATTGAGCCAAGACAATTCAAGTAGAGTCGATCTGCATTGATTCTCCAATGGATATGCACACAATACCTCCCCAAACTAGAACTTCTGGGATCAAATGGCATTGAACACACACAATACCTCCCAAAACTACAACTCCCATAGCATTGAGCCAGGGTAATTTCAAAGGGGGATCAAACTGAATTCATTCTCCAATGGAGATGCACACAATACCTCCCAAAACTACAACTGTCAGGCTCAAATAGCATTGAAGACACACACAATACCTCCCCAAAAAACTACAACTCACATAGTACTGAGCCAGGGCAATGCAAGTTGAGTCTAGCTGCATTTATTCTCCTATGGAGATGCCCCCAATCTCTCCTGAAAAACTCAATGGAGATGCACCCAAGGGGGACCCCAAAGGAGCATTCCTTCTACACCCAGCCTCTCACTAAACTACAACTCCCAAGGACCAAATAGCATTCCAGAGGAGTCCATCCATTCTCCGGTATAGGGATGCGCCTTGAGCCTGCTTGCAAGCTGGAGCACACCCATTAGGATGTTGTTGTTGTTCCTCCTCCTCAACTGACACGCGAGTGTACACGCGTCACGTGTGAGCGCGCTCTCCTCCTCCTTGGCTGACACGCGAGTGTACACGCGTCACGTGTGAGTGCGCCTCTCCTCCCCCTCCTTGGCTGACATGCGAGTGTACACGCGTAACGTGTGAGCACGTTCTCCTCCCCCTCCTCGGCTGACACGCAAGTGTACACGCGTCATGTGTGAGCACGCTCTCCTCCTCCTCCTTGGCTGACACGCGAGTGAACACGTGTCACGTGTGAGCGCGCTCTCCTCCCCCTCCTCGGCTGACACNGTATTGAACGTGTTTTTATGTTTTTAAATTGAATACTGTTTTTAATTGTTGTAAACCGCAATGAGTCGCCGATTAAGGCTGAGATATTAGCGGTATACAAGTGTATAAATAAAATGTGTCACCTATCCTATATTTCTGCATTTCATATTTCATGTGTTGCACTCCAGGCCTGGAAACACCTATGACCACTGCACCACACAGGAGTCCAGGAATATCCACAAACAGTTTATTGTAACTCACACAAAACATATCAAAAAGCAGGAATAAGAAAGGAAGATATATCCAAAAAACAACAGGTGATAACCAAACAATAATAAAAATGTCTCATAAAGTTCCAGAGGTGACAAAGTCCAGGAACAGCCAGATATCACAAATACACCATAAGTCCACAATCAAGAATACATAATCAGTAAAACTTGAACATGAGAATGTGAATAGGAACATAGAAAATTTCCAGAATATATATAAATCCAAAATCAAAGTTTGACTTGAACCAGGAACAAGAGAACTCAGACTTAGCTTCTCACTCTAACGCAGTGTTGTCTGAACTAACCTTAAGGTAAACAACTTGTTTAATAGACACCCATGAAGTCATTGCATTTCCCATGAATTTATTTCACAAATTTCCTCAGTAATCTCTCTGAATGACGCAATCTATTTTTGGCTCTGATTTGTAAATGAAGACCTTTGTTGATCTCCGTAGCTGTGTGTGGCAAAGGATTTAGAGCCATGTATCAGTAGTGTTTGCATTATTATCTAAGACACCTGCTTGGACTTTCAAAAGGCATGCTGTATGGATACCTTCCATTGAGTTATCAGCCAGTTCTGATAATAATAATAATTTTATTTCTTACTTGCCTCTCCTTGTGACGGGTTCCAGAATAATTAAAACACATAAATATATAAAATATCACAAATGCACATATTAAAAAGTATTTCTATAAAATATACATATTTACATATTAAAACATATTTCTATAAAATATGTATTAAAATACATAATCATGTAGCAGAAATGTCCCATCTTGTCAAAACAATTTAACACATCTCTTTCTAAATTAGCTATATGTAAACTGGGTTGTAGATAGAGAGGCAGTTATTCAGCATTACTTATTGATCCAAGAAATATAAACATTAGGGAGTAATATTTGTTAGCTCAGAAAAAAAAAATGAATATCCATCCCCTTATTTAAAGAATCGAGTTATTTTTGTGTAAATTTTGTTGTGAAACTTTTGTAGCACACAGACTGGAGGAGTTGTCTGAGCAAAAGAAACGTTTGACTGCAGATCTAGAGGCAACAGTGGATGACATGCAAAGTATGTATCATCATGTTTCAGAAAGAGCTATATATGTGCCACCTATTGGTAAGTACAAGATACATTTGCATTTTAATCATTGGCATATTCCTCAGGTGTTATCTTAATTATCATGGTAATGAGTTAGAGGCATAATCAGTCTGATTTCCAATCATTCCTGAGTCCAGACATTCTCACAACTTGATAATCTAGCATGACTCTACCTCAGTTCTTTTTCTATAGATGGCACGAGGAGCAATCCACAACTGCTGGGATTCCTCCCATGTGCCATCTGACTAGGTGGCCCAAACCATAGCTATGGGGGCACACCTCTAATTCATTTTAAAATATGCATGCATTATACAGTATTTTATTGGTATCAGTGAAGTATGCTTGAAATGCCTTGCTTCTTAGCACAGTGTTGGGATAGATGGGAAGCTGTGATATCTTGTAGAAGCCAGTCTTCTAGAAATTTTGGTCTAGCATTTAGTGTAGCTCCCGATTTTATTAATATATAATGTCTGATTATTATTTCTTTTTCATTGATACATTCTTGCAATTGCACTCATGTTTTATAAATTAAATTTCATAATTAACAAAAATGTTTAACAAAGGTTCCTCTGGGAAACTGTGTGTGTAATATTTAATATTGAAGCTTATAGATTATATCAGATGCAGTTCATTTGAGAATAAACAGAGTCCAAAAACTGTGAGTGATTGGTTGTTTATGAGAATTGCATAACTTCAAAAAATTGTTCCAAAAGTTCAGCTAATCATTTGAGGACCATGTGACAAATGTTTAAACAGTTAACAAGTTACTAGTGACTTTACTCGTGGGGAGTCTGGTACCCACTGAGTGACACCATCAGAGAGGGATAACACTTGGCTGCATGGTGTTTCATCTTGCATATCAAGACCCCTGGTTGTGCTCTTCTGTCAGCTGGCTACTTAAATGACTGTTAGGGGGTGGGGTCGTACCCTCACCTAATGGCCCATTCCAAGTCTGGCAAGGCTCCTGGCTGGGCCAGAAAAGTGAGACAGTGGCAGTGGTGGTCATGGATACCTCCCCTTGTCCAAAATGAAGTGCAGTGTAAGGCAGGCAGTGGTGTGTCAAGTAGCAGGGCCTGGATAGTGGTTGTACTGGCAAAACAGGCAGGACATAATGGTCATATAGCCAGGTCAGCTCCCCTTCCCACGTGCTGTTGCTTCTCCTTCCACTGCCTTCTTCACTGTGCCTTTTCCTTAAGGTTGCTCTTTCTTATTGTGGGCGGTAGGAAGGATCACTTTTTGTGGGGAGAGTTCGGAACATCAGGCAGAGTAAAGCAGCTGCAGTGGACACCCTCCTACTCTTCTGCTCCCCTCCTTCTCAACTTCTAAAGGGCTGAGGGATTCCCAGGCCACACCTTCTGTCCAATCTTTGCTCCAGGATGGAGAGAGAGGCAACCAAATCCAGATTTCCCTTTCTACTAGCTTCTCCCAATTACTGGAACTGTGAGGTGCCATGGGGCAACACCCTATTGATGGCATGACAGATCACTCAACTTTGTTTAGTCGCATGGCTTGCTCTGGGTAATGTCTATATGCAGTTTCTGGTAGGTCTTTCGGCATTCGATCTTTACATATCATAGTGGATCTTCAAAATGTTGACATGATGAAATTATATGTGAGTTTACAAGTGAGATTATTTTTTTATATGATTATTTAAAATTCTGCTTGCAGAAAGGGATTTGTCTAAAATACATAAATTATCTGAAAAGAAGCAAATCTTGTTAGGAAAGTTGGAATCTAATCAGAAAGAGCTACAAGAAGCCCAGCAACTTGAAGCTGCCGAGCCAGGCAGTGTCAGTGGTATGTATGTTATTTCTCATGTGAATATTATAGACTTAAGCATAAGAATTTAGAATTAAGATGCTTGAATGCAAAACAGCCTGCTTTATAAGTGTGCTTTCTTCTCTAAGAGTCATAGAATGGCCATCAAGTCAAGCCCATGCTATGCAGGAATATACAGTTGCATCACTCTTAACAGATGGTCATCCAAGTCCTGCTTAAAGAACTCCAAAGATGAAAAGTCCACAATTTTCATGCATTCTATTCCAACATTGAACAGCTCTTACAGTAACCCCTCCCCATAATATTTAGGTGGAATCTCTTTCGTAATTTGAAGCCACTGATTCCAGTCACCAGTGCAGCTGAAACCAGGCTGGCTCCTATACTCAAGCATTTAGAAAGCTATAAGGTCTTATCTCAATCTTCCCTTCAAACAAAATCGGATCAATTCTTCATAAGACTTGCTTTTCTGTCTTTTGTTTATCTTGGTCACTCTTCTCTACAGTTTCTTTAACTGTGATGCCCGGAACTGGACACAGTGTTCCAGTATTCCTAAGCAGAAACGAGTGACGACTATTCATTCCCTTGTTCTGGACATTATACTCCTGTAAATGTAACTGAGAATTGCATTGGGTATTTTGGCTGCCACATCACATTGTTGGCTCATGTTTAGTTTGTGGTCTACTAAGACTCCTAGATAATTTTCACAGGTACTGCTTTCACACATATCTCACCAATCTTATGTTTGTGTATTTCACTTTTCTTGCCTAGATGTACTATCTTACATTGATCTGTGTTGAAACAGATTGTATTAGTTTTGGGCCCAGCTCCCAAACGTCAATTTGAATTCTGATCCTGTCCTCTGGGGTATTAGTCAAAAGAATGTTGTAGGTGGCAAAGGAATTGGTGTCTCGGATCAGTTTTGTTTGCATTGTCATCACACACACCTAGTTGGACTTTCAAAAGGCATGCTGTATGGGTACAAGCCATTGAGTTATCAGCCAGTTTTAGAATGATTTAGCAGAAATGATCCATCATGACAAAACAATTTAACACAACCTTTTCTAGATTAGCCACACACAAACTGGGTGGTAGGTAGAGAGGTGGTCATTCAGCATTACATAGTGACAAATTATAGGCAGTAGGATTCATGATATCTCGGAAAATTTCGAATGTTCATCCCCCTATTTTAAGAATCTAGTTATTTTTGTGTAGATTTACACTTTGTTATGAAATTATGTAGCACACAGGCTGGAGGAGTTGTCTGAGCAAAGGAAACAGTTGACTGCAGATCTAGAGACAACACTGGATGACATAAAAAATACATATCGTTGTGCTTCAGAAAAAGCTATATATGTACCACCTATTGGTAAGTACAAGATACGTAAATCTGGATGTTAATAAATGGTATTTGTGATACATATTGCTTTAGTGTTATCCTAATTATCATGGTGAGAACCATAATAATTGCGTTGCTGTTTATTTGAGAATAAGAACATGAAAATTAATTGTGAATGGTTGGTTTTTCACTACAATTCCATAACTTAAAATAATTGTTCCCAAAATTCAGCTAATTGTTAGGAAGGCTGTTGGACAATGTTTAAATAGTTAACAAGTTACCAGTGTCACAACTAGCGGGGTGTTGGGAGTGTAGCGCCCACTGGAGGACACCATCAGAGAGGAGTGATGCCTGGTTGTATAGTTTTCCACTGAACATATTAAGACTCCTGGCTCTGCTCCTCTGTCAGCTTGTTGCTTAAAAGGCTGTTAAAGAATGAGGTGCTACTGTTACTTCATGGCCCATTCCAAATCTAGCAGAGCTGCTTGCTGGGCCAGGAAAGGGAGGCAGTGATTGTGACAGTAGTGGCCATGGATACCTCTTCTTGCCCAGAATGAAATGCAGGGCATGGTAACAGGAAGAAATGGAGACAATGCAAGGCAAGCAGTGGTGTGTCAGGTAGCAAGGTATGAACAATGGTTGCACTGGCAAAACAGGTGGGATACAATAAGCATTTAGCCAGGCCAGCTTGCCTCCCCCCCTACTGTTGCTTCTCCTTCCACCGCCTTCTTGATTGTGCCCTCTCCCCAGTGTTGCTCATTCTGATTGTGAGCAGTAGGAAGGATTACTTGCTTGGGGGAGAGTTCAGAACACCAGGCAGAGTGAAGCAGCTGCAAGGACATCAGTGGAACCCTCTTACTCTTCTGCTCCCCTCTTTCTCAGTATCTAGAGCAGTGTTTCTCAATCTGTGGGTCCCCAGATGTTTTGACCTCCAATTCTCAGAAATCCTAACAGATGATAAACTGACTGGAAGTAGGCCAAAATACCTTGGGATCCACAGGATGAGAACCACTGGTCTAGAGGGCTGGGGAACCCCCAGTCTACCCCTTCTGTTCAATCTTTGCTCCAGGATGGGGAGAGAGGTAACCAAATCAAGATCCCTTCTTCTACTAGCTGGTAAAATAATATGTGATTTTATAGGTGAGATTATTTTTAAGATGATTCTTAAAAATTCTGCCTGCAGAAAGGGAATTGTCTAAAATACACAAACTATCCGAAAAGAAGCAACTGTTGTTAGAAAAGTTGGAGTCTAATAAAAAAGAGCTACAAGAAGCTCAACAACTTGCAGCTACCCAGCCAGGCAGTGTCAGTGGTATGTATGTTATTGTTTCTTATGCTGTCATCATAGACTGAAACATAAGTATTTAGAATTAAGATACTTTACTGCAAAGCAGTGGAATCTCTTTTTTTTTGTAATTCTATCTTCTCTTCTCCAGACAAAATATGCTTAATTTTCTAAATATTCTTCATAAGGCTTGCTTTCTCTACGCACAGCTTGTTAACTTCCTTGCTGAACTGTTCTACCCAGAACTGGACACAGTATTGCAGATAAGGTCTAACCAAAGCAGAATAGAGTTCTACTGCTATTTCCCCTGTTCAAGACATTACACTCCTATAGGTGCAACTCATAAATGCCTTGAATTGTTGATATTGTTGACTCATGTTTAGCTTGTGGTCTACTAAGACTCCTAGATCTTGCTGACAGGTACTGTTTTCACACATGTGTCACCCACCCTATATTTCTACATTTCACTTTTTCTTCCTTGCATTGATCTCTGTTGAAATCGATTGTATTAGTTTAGGCACAGCTCTCTGAGGTAATTTTGAATTCTGACCTTGTCCTCTGGGATATTAGCTAAAGGAATATTGTGGGTAGCAAAGGAATTGGTGCCTTGGATCAGTTTTATTTGCGTTATTGTCAAACGCAAATAAAACTAGTCAAACGCAAATAAAACGGTTCTAGAATCATGTAGCAGAAATGTCTCCTCACGTCAAAACAATTTAACACATACTGTTGTAGATTAGCCACATGCAAATTGGGTGGTAGAGAGGTGATCATCCAGCATTACTTAGTGACCCAATGGCCCCGTCTGTGTTCATGACTGCATCTCCCTCTATGAAACGGTGCGGGTTCAAAGATCTGCTGGGGAAGCTCTCCTCTCACTCTCACCACCACAAGCATGGCTGGTGGTGGCCCCCTGACTATTGAACACCTTCCCCAGAGAAATTAGACAAGCCCTCACACTGTCCTCCTTTCACAGGTGTCTGAAAACCTGGATATTTCAGCAAGCTTTGAGAACGACTACTCCCTAGTTATAAATGCCCAGTCCCTTAGTTGCCAGATAATACTATGTTCTCTGAACTTCTTCCAATTCCCCAGCCCTATGGTTTGCTGTAGCCCTAAGCCCATGCCTGCCCCTTTTACAGCCTGAGCAAGCCCATTTTAGTAATTCTGGTTATTGGTATTTGTCGAGCATTGTTTTGATGGCGTTTCAATGTTGCTTTTTATACTCTTATGTTTTATTAAATTGTATTTTTAATTTTGAATTGTTATATTTTACTATGTTATTTTAATTGTGTTTTGTTTAATGGATTGTTTTGCTTTTACATCTTGTGGTCATTCTGTCCTGTGTGTAAGCTGCCCTGAGTCTCTTCAGGGAGATGGTGGTGGGGTATAAGAATAAAGTTGTTGCTATTATTATTATTATTATTATTATTATTATTATTATTATTATTATAAATACTAGTCAGTAAAATTTGAATATTGATCTCCTTATGTTAAGAATCTAGTTATTTTTGTGTAGACTTACATCTTGAAATTTGTGTAGCACACAGGCTGGAGGAGTTGTCTGAGCAAAGGAAACAGTTGACTGCAGAGCTAGAGGCAACAGTGGATGACATGCAAAATGCATACCGTCATGCTTCAGAAAAAGCTGTATTTGTACCACCTTTTGGTAAGTACAGGATACATTAGTGATGCAATGGCAGTTTGTTTAACTTTTCTTAATGGCATGGCTCACCCTAGGGAAGGCTTACATACATTATGAGTGCACACCATTCCCCACATGGTTGTCTTAGATCTAATGCAGATTCTCTATTTGAGTAATATACTTTTCACTCAGCTTTTTTCATTCTATGTAGTAATATAACATTTGGCTCATATATGAGAAGACTTTATAAACATATTTATCATTATCTTTCCTACCTCCACATAGTTTACTGGCATATTTATTAATATTGAGTATGGATGAAAAAATAAATATACAAGCTTTCATATTTTTAAACCAAACTGCACGATAATTGGTTTGATGGGTCACTTCTTATGTATATTTCTGGACAATATTATTTTTGACCATATTTTTCAAGAAATTATGTGGAAAAATTTCTGTTTACAGGAAGAGAATTAGATGAGCTCTCTGAGAAGAAACAAGATTTGATGGAAAAATTGGAATCGAATTGGAAGGAGCTACAAGAAGCTCAGGAACTTGCAATTTTACAACCAGGAAGTGTCAGTGGTATGTATAACATGGAATTAAGACCCTGTTTTAATTTTATTATCCACCAAAGTATTTCTCAACTTCCATCTAATGCTAAACAAAGCTCACCAAGCTGTTTAAAATATAATTGTTTAAAATCTTGCAAACATCAAGAGTAACAATGACAGCATGACTACATGGAGCGCCATTACCTTCCCACAGAAGTGGTACCTATTGATTGACTCAAACTTGCATGTTTTCAAACTGCTAGGTTGGCAGAAGCTGGGCTAACTGTGTGAGCTCACTCCGCTTCTTGGATTCGAACCTCCAATCTTTTGGTCAGCAAGTTCAGTCGCTCAGTAGTTTAACCAGCTGGGCCACCAGGAGGCCTCTTTAGGTGATAGGAGGAAATAGATTTTCCTAATCAGCTGTACTATTAATTACTATAATGAACGTTATATTAATTATTATTATAATGTTTATTTATAATGCCATTTCCCCTAAAGGGCAGAGCATCAACTATCAGTAGAAATATACATAAAATTTCCCACATCTACTAACTGCTATGTACCATGCAAGCTGAACTGGCAAGTACTGGGGGAGATTAGGGTTCAAGTTTCTTTTATCCATATGTTTCAGCTTGTGGAAAACAGCTCTATCTGCTCTGCTTAGCCCATGTTGTTAATGGAAAATTCAAACCAACAAAGTCACCAGTGGAGGGGAGGGCAAAAGAAACAAATGGGAAACTATGGCACAACCAACCATCTAGAATCTGTCTGAGTCTTTCTGCAAAAGCCATTTCAGTTTTCTAGGCTAAAGTTGATACAATCCTGTCCCCTAGTGGTCACATGCAAATCTGCTTTTTCCAATACTACTTCAGAGGCACTTTCTGGGGGGAAATGAAAGGACTGATGGACCTTGATCTGAATCACTACCGCATTTGTATTATTCTTAAAGAGAAAAGTGTTCTCTAAAATTTGACCCTAATAATAATAATACTAACAACAACAACAACTTTATTCTTGTATCCCTCCACCATCTCCCCGAAGGGACTTGGGGCAGCTTACATGAGGACCAATCAACAAAATTAAAATATAGCACAATAAAATACATTTCATTGCAATAAATAATAACAACAACAACAACAACAACAACAACAACAACAACATTTTATTTATATTCCTCCCTTCTCACCCTGAAGGGGACTCAGGGCAGATCACAGTACATATATACAACAAACATTCAATGCTGCTTTTGTAGAGACAATACACAGACAGACAGAACAGAAGGAGGTGCCATGGAAGGTTGGGCTGGAGTCCACGGGGCGCTGTTGCTCTATCCTCTTATGACGAAGAGCCATCAGGACTTCCTATTTCCTTTTAGTCACCCAGCATTTTCTGATCTTCTTTCCTTATGGGGTCGTAGAACACCTCCCCCACATTTTAGCGGTACTTAATTTATCTAATCACAGCTAAAGCTGTTTTAGAATTGCTTTGGTAAACAGTGAGCTAGGCTGACAGTTGGCTGCTCATGCCAATTCGGGGTAACCTTTTGGTTGATAGATCTTATAATTGCTGATGATTTGCCAGCTGTGCTAAAGCTCTGGCCCAAAAACCCTATAAGACATCATAAAAACATAACCTGTCAACAACCAACAAGCAGTAGTCGAGCACAATGGGTGTGTTCAGTGCTAAGAGGGCTTGTGCAATACAACAGCATGGACGGGGCTGGTCATAAAGTGTAAAAGTCCGATAATTAAATTAGGGCTAGAAGGGCCACATCAATTGATGAGCAGATTAATCAAAGCCACATTGGAACATCCAAATTTTCAGGTTTTTAGGAAGGTGGACAGGGTGGGCGCTAATCCAATCTCCTTGGGGAGACAGCTCCAGAGCCAGAGGGCCACCACCAAGAGGGCCAGCTCCCTTGTCCCCTCCAACCATGCTTGTGACAGAGGTGGGAATGAGAGAAGGGCCTCCCCAGCAGATCATAAAGCTCGCACAGGTTCATAGGGGAAGATGCAGTCACAAAGATAGTCTGGAGCCGAACCATGTACAGCTTTGTAGGTGATAACCTGCACCTTGAATTGGGACCAGAAACTTATTGGCAGCCAGTGGATCTGTTTTAATTGGGGGGTGGGGGTGGTACATTCCTTATAATTTGCTCCAGTTAGCAACCTGGCTGCCAACCTTTGTACCAATAGCAATTTCCGGGCTGTCTTCAAAGGAAGCCCCACATAGCACGCATTGCAGTAGTTCAATATGGAGATAACGAAGGCATGGATCACTGTGGCTAAGTCAGAACTCTTGAGGCAGCTGGCACACAAGCTTTAACTGTGCAAACGCCTTCTCAGTCACCACCAACACTTGAGCATCAAGCGACAGTGCTGAGTCCAGGAGGATCCCCAGACAGTGAACCTGTGTCCTCAGGGGAAGTGTAACCCGATTGAGCACAGGTTGCCACCCAGTGCCCCGATCAGCCACATGACAAGACAGATTACCTCTGTCTTGTCAGGATTAAGCTTCAGTTTGTTAGCCCTCATCTAGTCCATCACAGCGGCCAGGCACTGGTACAGGATCTGGGAGGGGGGCATCCTTGCAATTAGATGGAAAGGAGTAGTAGAGTGTCATCTGAAAAAGAGTGCAATAATCAATGTTTTAGATTTGTTGCATGGATTACTAAGATATTGTTTGTGAAGGAATTGAGGCCTTAATGTATGCTACAAAAATGCTGATACATTATTGAGTTATTTATGGGTAATACTATGTATTTACTATGAAATTATTTTGATTACAATTATTTCAAACTATATTGACATTCGATTATAACAAGATGTAAAATAATTATCTAGATCATAAGCTGCGGACATTATTTAACCAAAGAAGAGAATTGACCGAGAAACTAGAGACAGCTGTGCATGACATAGAAAAGGAACAGAGACTTGCTTTAGAAGAAACAGGAATTATGCTACAATCTGGTAAGCAGAGCATAAAAGATTTTGCACAGGCAATTTATGTGCATATTGTTTCAGTGCTGGCGCCATAACAATTTTGATTATTGAGGCCAATTTAATTCAATTTAATTGCTGGAATTCCTGTCATTTTATGAGGACAAACACATTATAATTTGAATCAATGATAGAAGAATTCATTAGATATAATAATAATAATAATAATAATAATAATAATAATAATAATCTTTATTTCTGTCCCGCTCTATTTCCCTGTGGGGACTCGGGGCAGTTTACAACAAACAGTGGCAAATATTCAATACCGTAAAGTGCAAGCAGAAACCAAAACAACCAAAGCAACCATAAATCAAGGAACATATTAAACATCCATATCAAGTGGTAATGGAAACATTTTGGCAAATTAGACAAATTAGACTAAAATTACGTTTTTACGGTGTCTGTGTGCATATTCCTTCAAGTTGCCTTTTGGTTTAGGGTGACTCCGTGAACTTCATACGGTTTTATTAGGCAAGGAATATTCTAAGGTGGTTCCATCATGTTCTTCCTCTGAAATATAGCCTACAGCACGTGCAATTCATTAGTGGTCTCCAACCAACAACCAGGGCAGACTTTGCTTATAGAAACAGAAATCTAGATGAATAGATAGTTGGCAAGATAGAATAGAAAAAACTGAAGGAGAGAAGAGTAAATGAATACAACTGCAAAATAACTTTGTACTCCTGCCTCTGAAGCCGGCACATGGAAATATACCCCCTGTGATTATGGATTGTTCTGCTGAACATATGGGGACTAAAGCAAATATTACTGCTTCACCATGCCATCCCAATTATGACTATTGGTAATAAGTACTAATATTTAATTCTTATTTCTGGGCTCATCAGCAGGGTGGTTATAAAGAACAGCAATTATACTGCCCTTGTACTACCCTTGTTATATTCCCAGCATGATAATAACTTGATTTATGTGCTGTGTCTTAAATTGTGTGGGGTGCAAAGAAAAAGGTGGCTTGTTGTTTCTATAAAATAATCCAAGTTTTGAATGGATTACTTAATTTTATGTGACTTTCTCATCAACGGTACAATTTGAAGTTCATTCAAAAATCTTTCTGTGCAGGAAAGGAAATGTGTGAGCTGTCTGCAAAGAAGCATGAATTACTGGAGCAGTTGAAATATAATCAGAATGAGCTACGAGAAGCTCAGGAACTTGCAGCTACACAACCAGGCAGTATTAGTGGTATGAACTGTTTGATTTGGCATATTTTTCAGTCCAGTTTCAGGTACATTGGCTACATATCTGCTGGTGAGAAATGTTCCCTTAGATCACTGCTGGTCCATGGACCACCAGTGGTCCGCGAGAACAAAAATAGTTTTGCCTCACCATTACTACATCATTGCCTCAAAACCGTGCTGCGAGAGCAAGGGGTCTCGCAAAACACTCTTATAGTGCCAAGGCAATGGGGATGTTTGGAGGGGAGCGTCTGAATACCCATGAAAGATTATTACTATCACATCAGCTCTAGATGATTAAATATGGTTTTCTGTGGGCGAGCATATGGCGACTACTGGATGGCATATGTTCTGTATCAGAAACTACAGCTGATGTCGTCTTTCTAATGCAATTTTCTGAATCAGCACCCCTAATAACCAATTAATTAAAAACCATTCCAAATAATAGAATGATTAAAAACTATTAAAAATGAACGATTTAAAAGTATGGCCACTTTCCCTTTGCAATATGTCTTTTCTTGTTCTTTAAGGGGACTATATTTGTTTTAGCTATAAGATTCCATGAAAATTCCCACCCACATAATCCTGTTTCTTCCTAGTCATAATGATAGGGAAGACTGTTTTATAGTGCAGCGACTTCAACATACGGTACATCAGAATTTCACTGGCCTTATTTTTTAGAGCATAAACTACAAGAGCTAGTTGAACAAGGAAGATATTTGAATCAAAAGCTGGAAGAAACATTGCGTGATATAGTAAAAGTTGAGCGTCTTGCTTCAGCGAGAGCACTGGTTGGAAAACCTGATGGTAAGTCAATACTAAATGGCCTTTACAATAGATGTTTATTTTGCTGAGCACTAAACTCGAATTCAGTTCAACAAGACCATTTTCCCCACAACAATTACTGAGGTCATTAGACAAAGTGAAAAACAGCTACCTCTCTATTTTGCCTGGATCAAGAAGGATTGTTTCCTTCTTGATCCTCCTTGTGGTAAACACTACAGTTTCTTCAGGGCCATATAGTACCAAAGTGGAATTTTGCTTTATTATAAGGTAGCTTTAATGAATAATTACGGGTTATGTCCAATTGTATTTTATTCTGGAAAGCAGTTTGAGAGAGCTGTTATCCTTCTTTGCCATACTGGGAGAAGAAAACACTTTAAATTAAATAAAAAATGAGTAAAATTAAAGGGCAGCTTGAAAATAATGTTAATAAAGAAACAGATAAAATGTAATTTATGTGAAATAATATAATGTTTTAAATATTATTTTTATTTTATTTTATAAGTATTCAGACATTTAACATTTTTCATGAGATAATTTTAAAAATATTTCTGTTTGCAGAGACAGAATTATATGAGCTAACTGCAAAGAAGCAACGTTTACAGTCATATTTGGATTCCAATTGGGAGGCTCTACAGGAAGCTCAGAATCTTGCTATTACCCAACCAGACAGTATCAGTGGTATACATGCTGTGATTTATTGTGCTGCTATCTATTCTTTTAAACATATCTACTCAGAATTATGAAAATTTGTTACAACTGAACTTATAGACAATGCTAAGGAGTCATTTATGGAATCATAGCAGCTTAGAGATAGAAGGGCCACAAGACCATATGGTCCAATTTCTTGACATGCAGGAAAGTACAGCTAAAACACAACTTCTGTTTACAGACCCCCAGAGATAGAGTCTACACCTCAGACAATTTGTTCCACTGACAAACAGAAGTTTTCCCTCATGCTTTCTTGTATTTGAATTCATGGATTTGTATTCTAGTCTGTGAAGCAGCAGAGAATACTCTTGCTCCATCTACTTAGTGACATCTTTTCAGATATTTAAAGATAGATATCATGACACCATAGCTTTCACTTCTCCAAGCGAAACGTACCCTTTAAGGCTGCTTCTACACAATCTGGATCAGAATGTGGATTAAAGAAATCAAGTTCCACTCCAGAGAGTCTTTGCACACACACAGAGAACCATGAAAAAGCTCATGTGGTGTCCACAAAACTTTGTGCCAAATCCATTCAACAAAATGAGGTATATTTTTCTTACCCCATTTGGAGAAATGCTTTCAATTGCAGCAGCCCATTGGTTGAGAATCAGTGATGTAACTCATATTTTAACTCCATACGCCAGGCATCCTCAAACTGGCCCTCCAGCTGTTTGGGCCTCCAACTCCCAGAAGCCCTAATAAGCTTGTTCAATTGTTAGGAATTCCGGGAGTTGAAGGCCCAATCAGCTTGAGGGCCGCAGTTTGAGGATGCTTGCCATACGCTGATCAGCTGCAACACATTTTTCATTGATTTTAGACTTTCTCTTTAGTTTTTTAGACACATGTTTTCTATGTGAATGCCCAGTTTTTAGCCACCCCCTTATAAACCCATCTTTTTCTGGATCATACAGTATATGTAGATAGGACCTACTGTAAGTCATTCTTCCTAAAACATGTTTCCAGAACTTTATTTATTTTGGTCAACTTTCACTTGACCTGTTACTGTTTTTCAAACTTCTTCAATTGATTATTCCAGGTGACATCTCACTATACAGTGTGGAACTACTACTTCCCACAGTCTGAATACTATAAGCATGTTGATGCAACTGACAAATGCATAGGCTTTTTAAGCAGCTGTATCACACCATTGCCTCATGGTTAGCTTGTGCAACCAAACTAAGTAAGCCTTTTATAAGCACACAAAATATTTAGAGACCACTTGAAGGCCTCTTCCAAAATGCTTCCAGTGATTATTTTTTTCACTATTTTTTGTGATTTCTATTTTGTGGGTTGGACTAATCAATCTACATATTAGGGATAGCTGGGGAGATGGACTTATCTGCCGTCCCCCCTTTCTCTGTATTTTTTTGTTAATGTGAAGTGAAGGATTCTGGAGGCAGCTGTAGAATTGCCTGCTGTAGACAAGCACACATAGCTGCAGTAGAGTCAGATGGAGTAGAATCCCATTCTTTCCCAGTTCAAGCATTACTAGGTTGTTTACTTCAGGCATGCTTCTGTAACTTTACACTAAAAGTATGTGTTTATCAATGTGCTGTTGAAAAGCTTTCAGCTAGACAGAGACCAAATAATAAAAGGGAGCCAGGAAGTCATAGAAAGACCTTTTGAAAGGGAGTTACAAACATTAGACTTACAAACAACTCATAGTTAAGAATGAGGTGAGACAACAGAAGTGAAAGAAATCAACAACTAGGAAGGAAAATTCACTCCTGGAAGAGTTATTATGGGGTAAAAGTGTCTCTACTGAAGCATTCTCACCAACCTGTGTTTCCACAACAAGCCAAAATTTTCAAAATCCAATTATCACAGGGACAAAAAGTGAGGTGAAATCTTCTGAAGAGGGGCACAGGCAGCAAAACAAACACCACAGAGGTGTTAACCCTTCCCTATGCTTTCCAAAGTTAATGTGTGTGTGTGTGTGTGTATGCATATGCGTGTGTATGTATATGGAATGACATTTTAAAATGTATGTACTTGTTTTGACTTACATGCAAATTCAACTTAAAAACAAAGCTATAGATCCTATCTTGTTTGTTACTTGGGCACTGCCTGTATTGAACTGTAAATTGTATTGTCATATTAACATATATTCTAATCCCACATTTTTTTTGTAGAAGACAAAGTTCAGGAGCTTGCTGAGGAAAGAAGACAGTTGGCTGCAGAGTTAAAGACAACTATGCAAAAACTACAAGAGGCGGAACGCCGTGCTTCTAAAAAGGAGCTAATAGATAGTACCGCTGGTAGGTAAAACAATGAGGTAATTTTTTTCAAAGGCACGTACGTCGTACCTCTAGAACAGGCATGGGCAAACGTTGACCCTCCAGGTGTTTTGGACTTCAACTCCCACAATTCTTAACAGCCGGCAGGCTGTTAGGAATTGTGGGTATTGAAGTCCAAAACACCTGGAAGGCCAACGTTTACCCATGCCTGCTCTAGAACATTCTGGATGCTATATGGCACAACTGACCCATTTATATGATATCCACGTATAAGAATTTGAAGAACTACAGTTACAACTAAGCATCCTATCTGTCCATTTTTGAGTCCTGGAATAAAGGAGAACATAATGTTAGCAGAGAGGCATGAACACTTTAAATGTGATGACTGCCTCTTAATATATTTTTTTACTACCTGGTTATCACAGCCTTTTGTTAACAAAGGCTTGTTTGTGTCCAGATGGAAACTGCTGCCAGAGTTAGAAAAAAATCTAAAATGGTGAAATTGTGAAGATTGTCTCATTCGTGAATCTGTCCAATATTGTGCATATCAGTGAAAATAGACCCCAGGCACAACACTACCAGATACATCTGACAAAAAAAAATATGCTGTACTTAATGAAACCATCCTGCAGGCAAAATTAACGTATCCTGAAACAAGGAAGTCTGCTTTACCTTTAATAGTTTTGGTTCTCTTGGCTCAGTTTAGTTGGTTTCTACTAGACATGAAATCCTAAATATATGAAATAATAAAATAAATATATCACAAAAGAAAAAAGAAGAAAAAAAATCCATAAACAGAAAAAGAAGGGCTATAGGATTTTGCACTTTTATTTACATTAAAGGCAGTGTTAAAGCAAAAAGCTTACAAAGTACAATTTGGTAACTGATTTTTGAATGATTGTACTTTGTAAGCTTTGATATATTCAAAAAAGGAGGCCAATGCAGAAGAAGCTGTCAAATGTACCTATATTTCTCAAAAATCTCCATTTAGAGGACCGTGCCTCCATATGTGCCAGGTTCTCACCTATTTAAAGTTAAATAATTATTATTGTTCTAATTTGCTGCTGATTCAAAATGAATAGCACTACAAATAAAGGCCTTTTGCAAGGACTTATCATTCTAGCATCATGATAATAAACCAAGGCCTGAATCTGCTTAGTGATAGCTTTGACCAAATGTTCAAACAAATTGGACAAGACTCACAGATACACAAAGTACCTTCTAATCCTATTATTGTTGAACAGTGTTTTATTGAATGTTTTAGATGAAATGGAGCAAGGTAATTTAGATTATTTTTAATTAATATTTCTACGCTGCAGACAAAATAGATTTTAAAAAGATTATTTAGACCATAACCAGGCATCTTCATTTCCTCTATTTGTTAGTGGCTTTTTTGTGCTGCCCTAAGATGTGCAGGCTGTGATGGAAGATGAAAAAGTATTTGCCATTTCTACAAATAATTCACATTTAAATGTATTTTTTCCCTCATTTTGCACTATTTGGTAAAACTGGGTATTTGAAACTGGTTTTTTTCAAGAACATTTGTTTTCACAGACCGAGAATTATATGATTTATTTGAAAAGAAACAGCTGTTAAAAGCAAATTTGGAATCTAATTTGAAAGAGTTAGAAGAAGCTCAGGCTCTTGAAGCTGCTCAACCAGGCAGTATCCCTGGTAGGTATATTCTGATTGCTGGTGCTTCCAGTTGCAACCTGAAATATATTTTGTCAGAGGGTGGTTGTGACAAAAGCATTACAAAACTGTAGATTACCGTTTCTCTAATAGTAGTATACAATGTACCATACAATAAGTAACTACCATATTATGCCACACAAGCTAACGCTAAACACTGGAATTAGGTTTCTGACGATCTAAAATGGAGTCTGAGTACTGAACATGCTTAGTTCTGATCACATGGTCTCCAACCCCTCCCACAACAAAGAGGTTAGGTAAAATTGCAAACCAATACACACATACAATGTAATAAGCAATTATATACATAACAAATAATTACTGAAGGCTTGAGAAGGGTGCTATTTCTAACAAATATTAATGGCAACACATATTTCATGCAAACACACCTCTTTTCTTTGGCATAGCTGTAATGCAGAATTTTGAAAACTTTCACTTGTACTGACTGCTATTTTTCATGTTAATTTGTACAAACTGGTTAATTTCAAATTTTCAACAATGTTTAATGGAAACTTCTTATCATAGTGAATTAAGTTAGCTTGTGTCCCTTTACAAATTAAATACATTTTATAGTCTTGCCAATATTATAAGTGGATAATTTACGTTCTATTTAAATAATCTCAAATAGAATCAGAAATATCTAATTTCCTTCTGGTCCTGCTGGAGAGGAGGAGACAAAGATGGGGGCTTTTTACGTTCAAATATAGCCAAAACCAGGAAGGGTCTTTAATTTACATACAATATATTATCGTTCCAAAATCAAATGTAGTCAAAAAGCAAAAAAATAGAAAATGGATTTATCACAACATATTTCTTCAAAATGTTTTATTGTTTTTCATGGCCTCTATCTAGAATAGAACTTCCTTAGATGCATGCCTAGGCACGTGTAATTGTAGTATATATAATAGGAAGTAATGAGTAAAGATCGATGCTTTTGAGCTGTGGTGTTGGAGGAAAGTTCTGAGAGTGCCTTGGACTGCGAGAAGATCCAACCAGTCCATCCTCCAGGAAATAAAGCCCGGCTGCTCACTGGAGGGAAGGATACTAGAGACAAAGTTGAAGTACTTTGGCCACATCATGAGGAGACAGCAAAGGCTAGAGAAGACAATTATGCTGGGGAAAGTGGAAGGCAAAAGGAAGAGGGGCCGACCAAGGGCAAGATGGATGGATGGCATCCTTGAAGTGACTGGACTGACCTTGAAGGAGCTGGGGGTGGTGATGGCCGACAGGGAGCTCTGGCGTGGGCTGGTCCATGAGGTCACGAAGAGTCGGAGACGACTGAACGAATGAACAACAACAACAATGAGGTACTACATAAATGTCAAACATTAATGTTTCCAAATATTCAATTCATTTTTTCTAAACACATCTTTCACCAACATGCCAACATTAGTTGCACTTTGTATGCAGTTTAGTTAATCGATCACATACGTATTAATATTTTGTTATTAATATTTTGTTGTATCCTGAATTTGTTAAATAGCGGAAAAAATGGAAAAACTAGTTCAGAAAAGAGAACGCTTGACAGAAGATCTAGAAAAAACAGTTCAGGATATACAAAAAACAAAGTTTTCTTTATCAGGAAAAGGTGAAATTGAGAGACCTGCCGGTAAGTACAGAGTACATTATGTTGACTTTTAAAACGTGGTTAGGATTATGGTTGTAATTGCTTCAGTGTTCCAAGCCTAGTTATTCCTCACATTAGTCTGGCTGTCAGATGGTGATTCATTGCCCTAATATTTCCATCATGCCTAGACTGAGCTGTGGTGTCTTCCTTTTCCTGCTACCACTGCTGTAGGTGAGATCAACAGAGGCAGCACTGCCCCATTGTTCCTGTATTGAGACTGGTCCCACTTCCCAGCTACCATTGTGCGGCAACAAAGGAAAGAACTGGGCCTGGATACATTTTATGTATTTTGATGCTCTATGATCTGCTATGTGTGTATGCATGTGCACGTGTGTGTTTAAGAATACCAAACAATGACATTTATCTGCAGAGATATTCTAGATCAGGAATGGGCAAACTTCAGCCCTCCCTCCAGGTGTGTTGGACTTTAACTCCCACAGTAAATATAGACTTACTACAAAAGAGGCAAAACTTCAATTCTGTAGTATACTAAAGCTGTCAAATATTAGAAGAATTAGGGAAGACAAACTATTGCAGTACAGGATTTATGGGCATTTTATTTCTTTTCTTAAGTGGCTTAGAGGGAAAAGGAAAGAGCCTGAGGCTTCTAGGAATTGTGGGAGTTGAAGTCCAAAACACCTGGAGATATGAAGTTTGCTCTTGCCTGTTCTAAATTGTAATTCGGTAGTTTTCCAACTGTGTTGCAAATCTTCATTAACAGAAGTAGCATTCCTACAAAAACAAAACAGGACATTTTGTTATATAGAAGCTCTCCAGCAGCAGTGATCAATGTGGAATTAATCAAGTTCATTTTTGTGCTTCAAAATGATTTCAGGAGTCATTAAAGATGCATTTTTGCTTTCTAAGAGGACCCAGAGAAGGCTTTGTACTTCCTATGGCAGTTTTTCCAAGCACCTGTGGAGCCCATGTTAAAACATTTGTTTTAAGCAATCTCAGTGGGGTTTGGAAATATATATTAGTGACTAAAAGCAATTTGATTTAGCTTATTTCTTAAAATCTAGAATCTTGACAAAAGACGAAACATATTTTTAAAAATTGCCAGCTTTTAAAATATCTTTCTTTTAAAAAAGCGACTTCTTAAGCAATAAAGATCTAAAATAATATTCTCAAGAAATGCTTTAAATTTCCTTTTGCAGAAAGAGAATTATATGAACTATCACAAAAGAAACAGATGTTATTGGAAAATTTGAAAGAATTACAAGAAGCTCAAGCTTTGGCAGCTACCCAGCCTGGCATTGTTGGTGGTATGTATGCTGATTTATTGTTTTAGTTAAATGTGAAATACCTATTTTTAGAATTAAGATGCTTTAATTGCCAAGGTCAATTTGTAGATATATACAGTTTTTATTCTGTATATTTGTAAAAGGGGGATCTACCACAATAAAATAATCGTTTAGATGAAGTGTTTCTCAGCTCTCTGATAGACATGTGGCAAGGCATTCAAGCATCTTGGTAAGCCAAGTTCAACACAGATAAGTCTTTTATGTCAGTAATCTACATTATTTGCTAAGAATGCTGACATGAAGAAACTGAGATGTATGGTAAAAGACTTAGTAAATTTGGTAGTACAATCAAGCTTTAGATAGTTCTACAGAAACAAGCAAAAATAAGCCAAAAATGTGGCCCAGAAGTGACCAGAAATCAAATCAGTTTTACCTCTGAGTTTTCTAGTCTAGAACACAGGCTTAGCATAGTAGGCTAAACCTCCTTTCTGCAGAAAAATCCTGCCAATCAGAAGTTCAGCAGTTTGATCCCGAGTCGGGGTGAGCACCCGTCATTAGACCCAGCTCACCTGTCTACCTGGCAGGTAGAAAGCAAAAATACGAGTAGATAAAACAGGTACCGCTTTTAGCGGGGAGGTAATAAAGGCACCTTTAAGGACATCGATCAGGGAAAAGCTCCTCGGCATGGAAGATGGAGCAACAGCTCCCCCCATGACTGGAGTCAAGCCCAGCCTCCAAGATGTTGGTAATAAGATGGGGAAAACTCTATTTACCTCTTTGTGTTGTCTTTCCTCATTAATTGTACTATCAGCATTGAATGTTTGCTGTTTGTGTTTTCTGTAAGCCACCCTGAGTCCCCTTTGGGGTGAGAAGGGTGGGGTATAAATACTGTAAATAAATAAATAAATTTTCAGTTTCCAGTATTGAATTGGTGGGGATGATGGTGTTAAGAAAGAAGTGTTTGAGAGCACCTGATTCTTTTAAAATTGTAGAGCTGTTCAAGGAGCTTGGGAGTTCAGAGTTTGGGAACTGCAAAAATTGCTAATTGAAATCAAAACATTTCAGATAATGTTGAATAGTAACAGCACTGTTTACTTGGTGTAATTATTTCAAATAAGATTAATATCTTAATGAATTTGTCTAAAATCATTTTACAGAAGAAAAACGAAAGGAGCTAGCTGAGGAGAAAAAACGATTAGCTGCAGATCTAGAAGCAACTGTGCATGAATTGCAAAAAGTACAGCGTGCTTCAGAAATACCCGAAACACTAAAAGGCAGGGGTAAGTTGAAAGTAAATAACTTTTATTTTAAAATAGACTATATGTAATGTAAATATTCATAGCTGGCTTTTGAGGGAGGTTTGAATTCAAGACAAACTTCAGAAAAAAAGAGATTGGGGCACAGGGAAAAGATAATAATGTGTCATTGCCATCATTTTCATTTAACCTCATTTACTATGTCACTATTATTTCATTTTTATTGACATTCAAAACACTTTTGACATTCTTGGAAATAGAAATCAAATACGAATTCTCCTTACCAGGTTTTTGGGGAAGTGCAAACCAAGTACCATTTTTGTTCTCCCCAGGGATATTTTTTGCTCCCAAATGCCTTCAATAATAGTAATAATAATAATAATAATAATAATAATAATAATAATTTATAACCTGCCCTATCTCCCTTAAGGGTCTCAGGGCAGTTTATAGAGAAAAGAACAAAGTAGCAAACATTCATTGCCAAAATGAACAAACAACAACAACAACAACAACAACAAATCAACTGGAGCTATTGCAGTCTGGAGGAGGGTGATGTCGGGGTGTAGGAGCATTTTCCCCATATTTTGGTCTTCCCAGATGATTTATCCCAGATGATTTAAATCACAGAGGGGGCCTTTTTAATAACAATAATTGACTTCTGTCTGCTATAGTTTTTTATATAGACAAAGGCCTCTCCTGTGGGGCCTACAATCATGGGGAAATGTCCCCCAGTGTGTGTATGGCCTGCCAAAGTATCCTGGGGGTGCTGATGTGGTCCTAGCCTCCCATGGTTGCTTATCCTGGTATACATAATACATATAGATAGTAGTGACTACTGAAATTCTCTGTCTTGATGCTCTTGTGTTGAGCACACTGAGTTTGAAATGTATTCAAGGGTCTTCTCACTGCATCCCATGAATCCTGGAGTTTACTGACACTCATTCTGTCTTCATAAAGTTGTCATTGCAGACCCAAGCCTATAGGTTAAGACATTGATTTCCTTTGTAAAGTTACTTTATGTTCTGAGAAGAAATTAAATTTTCTTTATTTTCCCTGTTCCAAGATTTACAACAATGATAATGAAGCTATTATTATTGTAAATGAAAAAAATTCTGGCTACATTTTTTCTTGTGTGTTTCTGGCATTTTGTCACTGAGTGACTGTAGAACATTTAATTTTGCAGAAAAGGAATTGCATGAACTGTTGGAGAAGAAGTACTTGCTACTAGAAAATTTGGCATCCAGTCGGAGAGATCTAGAGCAAGCGCAAGCACTTGCTGCTGCCCAACCAGGCAGTGTCAGTGGTATGTATGCTATCACTCTTCATGCTGTCAGCTGCCTTGGACATACATTTTGTTCAGTTTAATTTATTTTTGCCCATGCCATTTTTATTCACATAGATAGAATATGATGTATCATGTCAATAAGAGCCATGATATGCATTTTAAAATGACACATTTATTTTATGTGTGATTTTAAAATGTTTGCATATCATATTGTCATTACAAGGAAACTATTGTGTTATCAGTTCAGGGAGTAGCTAACAGTAGTTGAAAATAGTGAAGCTATCAATTGAAAATGAAATAAATATGAAAAATAAAATAACCAAGCTAAGTCAGGAATATAATTGGACAACAACAGCAATCCAGAAGGCCAAGCTGTAAAAGAATAAAACCAGAAACCATAACAACAAAAAGGGAGTATCAAAAAGACAAACAGCATCAGTGATTTATCCAATCACAAATACATCTGTGAACATTGAGATTGTCAATAGGTATCTGGAAATATTGTTGAGGTTAGATAGCCCTTTTATTAATTATTATGACCATACAATCATTGAATCATTGAGTTGGAAGAGACTTCGTGGTCCATCCAGTCCAAAAAGAGCTGCTATTTTCCTTGTCAAGAAACATGGAATAGAATTTCAGGTGCTGAATGACATGAAGTAGAAGGAATATATAGAAAAACTTTCCTTAAGGCTTTAAGCTCTTTAGGATTTGTAACAAACACTACTTTAATTGGACAGAATTGAATAGATAACTACTGCAGAGCAAGCAGGCTGAGATAGCATTGTACGTCAGTTAATATTCCTTGACAATGTTTATAAGTATTTCCATATAGAACACATTACGGTATTTCAGGGTTTTTTGTGTTAAGTGCCACTTGAGAAACTGCAAGTCGCTTCTGGTGTGAGAGAATTGACCATCTTTAAGGACATTGCCCAGGGGACTCCTGGATGTTTTAGCATCCTGTAGGAGGCTTCTCTCATGTCCCACATGGGAAGCTGGAGCTGATGGATGAGAGCTCACCCTGCTCCCCAGATTCGAACCGCTGACCTTTTGGTCAGCAGTTCAGCCGGCATAAGGGTTTAATCCTTTGCACCACCAGAGGCTCCTACTGTATTGCCGTGGATCAACACTGCAATATATATATATATATATATATATATGCACTAAGTGTGAATATTCAAAGATTTAGACATAATAAACAGGAGTCACAGTGTTGTATTTAGAATATTTTATTTTGTAGATCATAAAGTACAGATGCTAACTGAGCAAAGAAGACGATTGAGTGAAGATCTAAAAGCAACTGTGCTTGATATACAGGAAATACAACGCCATGCTTCACAAAGAGCTCAAGTGAAAAGACCCAGTCGTGAGTAGTGATGGGAAGAATGTCCAAAAATATTGGTCAAAAATAGCTGAAAAGCATGTTTATGTGGTGTTTAGAAATGCTAATGTGAAGATTTCTGGACTGGTGAGAATCTTCACAATTTGGAACTTCCTCTACAGAGAATTCTTGCATTAGTGCAAGAAACAGTACTTTCTATGCAAAATTTCTGTATGTTATTATTTTCTGTACAGAAACCCATGTTTTCTGTGCAAAAATACCACTTGATGCCTTGGTGCTTTCTAGAGAGAGGAGCGATATTGGCACTTACTACATTGAGCCCTTGATATCTGCTGCAGTTTGATGCCTGACACACACCCTCCTCATGGATATAAAAATAGATAGAAGCTCAAGTCCTGTTATTTGCAATGACATAGTAAAATGGTGTCCCTTATATAAAAGAGAAAATGTTGCTTCTTTGGATTTTTAAAAAATATTTTCAAACCATGGATGCAGAATTGACGGTGGCCAGGGGAGCATTCACACAACTAAAACTTGTGCACCAGCTGCGCACAATTAAAACTTGTGCATCATGGGAAGTCAGACTTGGCCATGGTGCTCCACTCTCTTGTTACATCCCATATAGATTATTGCAATGCGCTCTACGTAGGGTTGCCTTTGAAGACTTCAGAAGCTTCAATTGGTCCAACAGGCCGCAGCCAGGTTGCTTACTGAAGCAGCATACACGGAGCATACAACCCCCCTGTTACGTCATCTCCACTGGCTACTAGTCTGCTACCAAGTGCTGGCTTTAGCCTATAAAGCCCTAAAGGTTCTCGCCCAGCTTATCTGTCTGAATGGATCTTCCCCTCTGAACCATCTCAGAGCTTAAGATTGTCTGGGGAGACCTTGCTCTTGGTCCCACCTTTTTTGCAGGCATGATTGCCGGAAATGAGAGACAGGGCCTTCTCAGTGGTGGCCCCTTGGCTACTGAATTCCCTTCCCAGGGATATCAGATCAGCCCCCTCCCTCCTGACCTTCGGTAAAAGAGTAAAAACATGGCTCTTTGATCAAGCCTTTGCAGAACCTATTCAATAGACAAATACAGAATTTTGTGCATGGACTATTGGAACGTCCCGGGGTGGAGAAAGGCAGGGTAGAATTGACATAAATAAATAAATAAATCTGTGGATTTTTTTAAAAATCCAGAAATGCTGAAGGTTACATACTCATATCAGCTTTTTAACATATTTGTGTATTTGTTCCCATGTTATCTGACTCTCAAAACATTTAGGGAGAAATGTTGCCGTGATTTGATTTCCTTTTGAAAGAGAAATGGCTCATATTATTTTTATAATTTTTGATTTATTTACAAATATGCAATTGGAAGTAGGGAAACTTAATGCCTTGTAGTCTGTTTTCGGCCACCATGACTTGCTGAGAGATTCATTTGGACTGGCTGTGTAGTTGTATGAGTGAGCAATATGGACATTTGAAAGCATTATTTAATAAAAAAATATTTTAAAAACTCTGTTTGCAGGAGAATTGTTTGAACTGTCTGAGAAGAAACAACTCTTGATGGAAAGCTTGGAATCCAAGCAGAAGGAACTACAAGAAGCTCAAGCTCTTGAAGCTTCCCAACCAGGCACTATCAGTGGTATGAATACAGTGATTTTTCATGCTTTCAGTTGCAGTTTTAATTGGCTTTCAGTAAGGTCTAGTCTAATTATGACCAAATGTGGATCCAACCCATTGCATACTAACTACACTTCCTTAACTGATATGTTTAATATTTTATTGAAATTATTTTGTAGAAGCTAAGCTGCAGGAGCTATCTGAGCAAAAAAGGCGATTGACTGTAGCTCTAGAAGCAACTGTGCATGATATGCGAGAAATACAGTGTCGTACTTCACAACCAGTTCTGCCTGAAAAGCCCACTGGTGAGTGAAAAACATTTAAGATAGAATAATCATACTTTGAAAGAAATATATATGTGTATACACACACACACACAAAATACTAGCATTTGAGCTTCTTTTTCAAGAAATAATTCTAATATATTCTGGTGTATAGAAAAGGACTTCCAAAAACTATCTGAATGGAAGCAACTTTTACTGGAACACATGGAATCTAATCTTAAAGAGCTAGAAGAAAGTCGAGCTCTTGCAGCTACTGAACCCAGCAGAATCACTGGTATGTACATGGTGATTTCTAATGTTTAATTTGTACAAGCGATGTTAGAACCTTGCTATTTTGATTGAGATTAAGTATAAATTTAGGATCACTATGCAGCTTGTTAAGATTTGGGTTTGCTGCTACAGTAGAGTCTTGCTTATCCAACCTTCGCTCATCCAATGTTCTATATTATCCAATGCAGTCTGCCTGCCACCCTGATCCACAACTGTTTCAATACATTGCAATGTTTTGGTGATAAATTCGTAAATACAATAATTACTACATAACGTTACTGTGTATTGAACTGCTTTTTCTGTTGATTTGTTGTAAAACATGATATTTGGGTGCTTAATTTGTAAAATCATAACGTAATTTGATGTTTAACAGGCTTTTCCTTAATCCCTCCTTATTATCCAACATTTTTGTTTATCCAATGATCTGCTGGCCCATTTATGTTGGATAAGTGAGACTCTATTGTACAAGTTAGCAGCTTGCAGGTCAAATACAATTGATATAGTAAAGAGATACTTGTTCTGAATGTGATCACTATGAATTATTATGGATTATATTTTTAAAGACCTAGTGGCAATTTATACTGTGGCTACCAGGTTTCTTAAAAATCATCTATGTTTGAATCGGCAGAATTCAGCACAGGTCTAAAGCCAGAATTAAAATTCTGTTTCTTGCTGGTGTCTTGAGTCATAGAATCACAGAGTTAGAACATACAAGTAACAGAAGAAGAAAGACTATTATTAAATATGAAAATATCAATACAAGAAATAAAAGAAGTACTAAGAAATCTTAAAAAGGCTAAATCTCCAGGGCTGATGTACAGCAGAATTTTACATGGAAATTATAGAAATACTAGCCCCAGAAATGCAGAATCCATTCAATAGCATACTGGATGGAGGGAAAGCCCCAGCTGCATGGAGAAAAACTGTAATTATAGTATTACTAAAGCCACAAAAAACCCAAATGAAATAAACTCATATAGAGCAATTAATTTAATAAACTAAGGTTATAAAATAGTCACTAAAATATTAGCAAATACACTAGAAAAATATTACCAGAAATGATAAAAGATGACCAGTACGGATTTATAAAAGGCAGACAAATAGGGCATCCAGTTAGGAATATAATTAATATAATAGGACATAGACAAAGGAAGAAACTAGTACTTGGGAAGATAAAATAAACAAAATAAAGAACAAATGGATGACGTATATAGAATGGGCTAAAAAGGGGGAAGCCAACATAAGCATCTTACAGTAATGAAGGTAAAGATAATAGTATTAAATAAATATGTGGTTAGAGGGAAGGATGGGGGGGAGGGGCTACACAGGTGGCTTTATTATTTAAAATTTAGTTAAATGTTAAGTTTTTAAAAATTGGCTCCATTTAAGAAGACTTATGTCAACAGCCTGTTGAATGAAAGTGGAATGTATCGTACAACATATGCATAACTGTTAAGGCTGCTGATACAAAGTAAAATATATTGTCAGAGAAAAAAGTCTTTATCAGAGATGCCTCTTATGTTCAAATTAGAGCTTGAAAAAGCGCTTGCCCAAAAAGTAACTTTCCCAAGCCCTAGTTCTGACACACATGCTAGGGAAAAACAGCAGCTGTGGGACTATCCTACATTATATTATAGTAATTATATTAGTGTTACTTATGTACAGACTTACATGGTCTAAATTCATGGGTGAGAAAAATTGAGGTTTTTCTTTAAGGTACGCAAGAATCAATTCAGTGGGGATCAGAGCAAAGTAGATATAAAATGTGGTAATCCTAAATCTGTCTTTCACTTGGTCCTAGGAAGAGACAGCAACAAACAAAATAGCTTTTACGAAAAGAGCAGACAATAGCTAATGAGACTAACAAAGAAGATAGGCAGAACAAATGTTTATTATTATTATTAATAATAATAATATTATTCATTGTATTTATATACCGCCTTTCTCACCCCTGGGGGAGACCCAAGGCATTTTACAACATACCAATGGCAAAATTCAATGCCAACATACATGTAAAAAAAATCATAGTAAGTAAACAGTAACATATAACCATGAATTAAAATAATTAAAACCATTAGACATAAGACATAAACAACATTTAAACATTAAGACAGAGCATTAAACCATCCTAGTATAAATATTAAAATCACATGATCCAAAATTGTAAATCATAGCCATTCCCTAATTATTCTTTGGACTGCATTACTTTACTGGCCAAAGACTTGGTCCCACAACCATGTCTTTGTTTTCTTTCTGAAGGCCAGGAGGGAAGGCACTGATCTGATTTCACGGGGGAGAGGGTTCCAGACCTGAGGAGCCACCACTGAGAAGGCCCTGTGGCTCGTTCCCACAAGTTGTACCAGTGAAGAAGGTGGGACCGAGAGCATGGCCTCCCCAGAAGATCTTAATTTCTGTGATGGTTCATAGAAATATTATTGACCAAAAAACTTTTCAGAAAAATATTTCTCTAGTAATTTTGGAGAACTGACAACTGGGATCACAGGCAAGCATGGTCTGGGAGAACAAAATGAAGCGGGACGCAGGCTGATAGAATTTTGCCAGAAAAACACTCTGTGTATAACAAACACTCTCTTCCAACAATTTAAAAGACGGCTTTATACATGGACTTCACCAGATGGTCAACATCAAAATCAGATTGACTACATTGTTTGCAGCCAAAGCTGGCAGACATACATCCAGTTGGTGAAAACAAGACCTGGGGCTGACTGTAGCTCAGATCACGAACTTCTTATTGCCCAATTTAGAATAAAACTAAAGAGATCAGGGAAAATACACAGACCAGTTAGATATGATCTCACTAACATTCCTAGCGAATATACAGTGGAAGTGAAGAACAGATTTGAGGGACTAGATTTAGTAAACAGAGTCCCAGAAGAACTATGGACAGAAGTCCGCGACATTGTTCAGGAGGCGGCAACAAAGTACGTTCCAAAGAAAAAGAAAACCAAGAAGGCAAAATGGTTGTCTGCTGAGACACTGGAAGTAGCCCAAGAAAGGAGGAAAGCAAAAGGAAACAGGGATAGTAAGGGGAGATATGCCCAGTTAAATGCGCAATTCCAGAGGTTAGCCAGAAGAGATAAGGAACTATTTTTAAATAAGCAATGCATGGAAGTGGAGAAGACAACAGAATAGGAAGGACAAGAGACCTCTTCCAGAAAATTAGAAACATTGGAGGTAAATTTCAGGCAAAAATTGGTATGATAAGAAACAAAGATGGCAGGGACCTAACAGAAGCTGAAGAGATCAAGAGAAGGTGGCGAGACGATACAGAAGATCTGTATAGGAAGGATAATAATATCGAGGATAGTTTTGACGGTGTGGTGAATGAATTAGAACCAGACATCCTGAGGAGTGAGGTTGAATGGGCCTTAAGAAGCATTGCTAACAACAAGGCAGCAGGAGACGACGGGATCCCAGCTGAACTGTTCAAAATCTTGAAAGATGATGCTGTCAAGGTGATGCCTGTGACATATCAGCAAATATGGAAAACACAAGAATGGCCATCAGACTGGAAAAAATTCAACTTATATCCCCATATCAAAAAAGGGAAATGCTAAAGACTGCTCAAACTTTCATACAGTGGCCCTTATTTCTCATGCCAGTAAGGTAATGCTCAAGATCCTGCAAGGAAGACTCCAGCAATACATGGAGCGAGATTTGCCAGATGTTCAAGTTGGGTTTAGAAAAGGCAGAGGAACGAGAGACCAAATTGCCAATATCCGCTGGATAATGGAGAAAGGCAGGGAGTTTCAGAAAAACATCTACTTCTGCTTCATTGACTATTCTAAAGCCTTTGACTGTGTGGATCATAATAAATTGGGGCAAGTTCTTGGTGGGATGGGCATCCCAAGCCACCTTGTCTCTCTCCTGAGGAATCTGTACAAGGACCAAGTAGCAACAGTCAGAACTGACCACGGAACAACAGACTGGTTCAAGATTGGGAAAGGCGTACGGCAAGGCTGCATACTCTCACCCAACCTTTTTAACTTGTATGCAGAACACATCATGCGATGTGCGGGGCTGGATGAATGCAAAGCTGGGGTGAAAATTGCTGGAAGAAACAGTAACAACCTCAGATATGCAGATGACACCACTCTGATGGCCGAAAGCGAGGAGGAGCTGAGGAGCCTTCTAATCAAGGTGAAAGAAGAAAGCGCAAAAGCCGGGTTGCAGCTAAACGTAAAAAAACCAAAATTATGGCAACAAGAATGACTGACAACTGGAAAATAGAGGGAGAAACCGTGGAGGCCGTGACAGACTTTGTATTTCTAGGTGCAAAGATTACTGCAGATGCAGACTGTAGCCAGGAAATCAGAAGACGCTTACTTCTTGGGAGGAAAGCAATGTCCAGTCTCGATAAAATAGTAAAGAGTAGAGACATCAGACTGGCAACAAAGATCCGCCTAGTCAAAGCCATAGTATTCCCTGTAGTAACCTACGGATGTGAGAGCTGGACCTTAGGGAAGGCTGAGCGAAGGAAGATCGATGCTTTTGAGCTGTGGTGTTGGAGGAAAGTTCTGAGAGTGCCTTGGACTGCGAGAAGATCCAACCAGTCCATCCTCCAGGAAATAAAACCCGACTGCTCATTGGAGGGAAGGATACTAGAGACAAAGTTGAAGTACTTTGGCCACATCATGAGGAGACAGGAAAGCCTAGAGAAGACAATTATGCTGGGGAAAGTGGAAGGCAAAAGGAAGAGGGGCCGACCAAGGGCAAGATGGATGGATGGCATCCTTGAAGTGACTGGACTGACCTTGAGGAAGCTGGGGGTGGTAACGGCCGACAGGGAGCTCTGGCGTAGGCTGGTCCATGAGGTCACGAAGAGTCGGAGACGACTGAACGAATGAACAACAATTTTGGAGTGAAATACTGATTAGGACTGGGATCGAGGTAATGATCACTTGAACAATAGAACATTACATTTTAAATTAACTATAAAATAAAATTAAATAAAATTGGGGGGGGAAACATAGAATAGTGTGTCCCATGCTCTCAGGTATATGGAAATAGAACTACAATCAAAGTCAGGATTCAAGCAGTAATATTATTTATGTGGTGATTTCAGAAATGTGGAATCTACTGTGAAAGTGAAATATGGCATTCAAATGTGAATATTGAGTACCTAAGTAATATTAAGTAATATTTGAGCTTGTTTGAAATGTATTAAATCATGCAGAGAGAAAAATACAGGAGTTAAATGAGCAAAGAAAGATTTTGACTGAGAACTTGGAGGCAGTTGTACAAGATATGCAAGAAATGAAAGCTCATCTTTCGGAGACGGGTGGAATAATAAAGCCCATTGGTGAGTACAAAGAAAATGATTTCATAAACAAAAATCACTAGCTTATCTTAGTATTGTGCACTTTAAGATCTCTAATGCACACCTCATTTAGTTATTCTGATTTCATGTTTATTGGATATATTTTTCTTAGTTCTCTTTCTACACTACATGGTTATAACTTTAAATCTAAAACTATAGGAGAGTTATTGCAATGTCATTTAACTTTTGACCCCAATGGTTTTTGGTTAGGATACTGGGGTTTGGTCAGGAGAGGATTAGTGGAACCAATTGATAGCTGATGGTTATATTGATTATTCATGCAGAGCGATTGCCTAGTCTGCTTTTGTTACCTCTTAATCTGTAGAAGGAGGGAACTTTTGAGGCTTAGCTTCCCTTATACAGATGCCGTGTCTAAGAATATTATGGTACTAGTGTATGAGTGCACACATACATTTTTTTCTAATTCTTACAGACTGCTTTTCATGTTCAAATGTTTGTAAATGACGTACACAAGAGCAAGAACCCCTTTCAGACCTTAAACACCACACCAGCTTGGTAAAATCAGCAAGTAGTTTATTGAAGAATATATGTAGGCAAAGCAGTAAAATTAACAAAAATGGCAAAGTTACAAAAAAGAGACTAAGCCATGAACTTCAAGGCAAAACAGGATACAAAAATCCATGAAATAAGGTAGAAGAATCCATGAAGAAAGGCAGCATGAAAACATCTGATACACAAACAGGAGCTTAGCAAAAACTTAGTACGTGAAACTAAGAACACTTGAAAGCAAGATCATCTTGAAATTCCAACGTTGATCCAATTGAGGCAACTCTTTCCTATGAATCAATATAAAGCTTTTCCAGATACCAAAACTGAAAGGAAAGCATTTCTCTTGACCTTAGACCGAGATAAAGGTTGCTTATCTCTCTTTTCTTGTAAACAAACTGATCTTCTTTGTGCTTGAGCACTTTGTCGTAGTTTACAGAAGTCTCGCTTTCTATCTACATTCTCATTAACTTCTGCACCTGACAAATCATTCTCAGACAGTTCCTCTAGGAAAGACCATGAAAAATCTCTTTCAGGAATGTGACCTTGTGAATCTTCCTGAGACAGCTCAGGCCTCTCATCTGAGCTTAACTCAGGCCCAGGCAAACCTTCATCCCCATTGCCAACAGACCAAGGCCCACCATCAGGAACATCACCCCCATTTCCATCGTGAATATCAGACACAATCACAGGCTGAACAGGCTGACATACAACAATAACTTAGTCATTGTAGTAGTAAAGAGCATTTCAAATTTCTGTTTTAGAAAAGGATTTAAATCAGCTTTCGCAGAAGAAACAGGCGTTTCTGGGACATTTGAGATCAAATTTAGATGAGCTGCAAGCAGCGCAGAAACGTGCAGCTACTCATCCAGATGAAATCAATAGTAAGTGTTAGTGTTTACTTGATTAAGGAAGTAATATCTTATGCACCTTTTTGTGTTTAATAATAAAACTTAAATATAAATTATTTTATATTTACAAAGTACATAAAGGATCATTCTTTCAGGGGGGTGGAAAGCAATTGATGAAAAACAGAATTAATTTAGACATATCCTAGTGTACGAATAGACTAAAGGAATTAAGTGCTAGCACACAGTTCTGTGTCTTTCTAGTTAGATTCTTTTAGCCATATCACTTTATTGTATTTTCCCTGGTTTCAGTTATAGATTTTCTGTGTAATAAATGAAGTTTTATAATACATATATTTTGAAAGATTATTTGAAATCTAATAGGTTTTATAGTTTTGTGACTCTTATTTATTATTTATTTATTTACGACATTTATATGCCGCCCTTCTCACCCCGAAGGGGACTCAGAGCAGCTTACAAGTAAAAAGTAAATACAATATATTATATTATTATCATAGCACAATATTAATATTATATATTACATTGTACTATAACATTATACTGCAATATTAGTAATATCACATTTAATATAAAATATATAATTATAATATATTATTATTATTAGTAGTATATTGTATTACATTATAATATTATCAATACTATATGTATATGTATATTATATTATATTAGATGCATAGTGCAGGAGACAAGATGGAACTGCCTTCCTGGCCCCTCTCTTCATTCTGATCTCAGAGCAGCGGTTGTTGCTGGGGGGGGGGGGGCTCCCAACTGATGACACTGGAGGCAAGATGATGCCTTCATGCCCCCCCTTATGTTATTGTGTATATATTTTAGTAATTAAAAAAGATCATTTGAAATTTTAGCAGCAATAGTTTCAATGTTTATCATAAATACCTTGGAACTCAAATATCTGTACATATACAGGCAATCTCTGAGTTACAGACATCTGATGTATGTATGACTCCCAGTGAATAATGCAGGTGAGGCAACAGGAAGTGAGAGGAAATCTACCCCTAGGAAGGGAAATTCACTCCTGGAAGAGTTATTCTGGGGAAAAGATATCGTCACTGAATCTACCGTATATTCCAGCATATAACACGACTGGGCATATAAGACGACCCTCAACTTTTCCAGTTAAAATATAGAGTTTGAGATATACTCACCATATAAGACTATCCCTATTCTAACACAAACCAAATAAAATTTTTAAAAGCAACAGATTTGATTTCAATATGGTAATTTTCCTATTACTGTATCTCCTTCTCTGCCTCTCAGATCTCGCACATGTGCACCTGCACCACTTCCCTACAGTCTTCAGGAGTTGATTTGAGAGGCAGAGGAGGAGGTACGGTAATAGGATACAAGGGCGGGCCAGACAGCTAAAAGAGTTGTTTTTTTTTTCTGTTTTTTTCATACCCCGGGCGCCCCAGACGCCTGCAGCTTGCTCCGCCCTTCACTTACACCTTCCCATTGAGGCACCCCTTCACCTCATCTTCGGGACCGCATTAAGTCCATGAATCCTGATGAACTGATTTTCTTCTACTGTACTTGTACAGCATCGCCCTTAATGCTTTCATACAGTCGCTGCATACGGCAGGGAGGCGGCCACTGGCAGTTTTGAGCCCCTCCCCCACAATATGCAGCAACCACAGATTCTCCAATCTGGATTGGAAGTATCAGCACCCGCTCTATAAGACAACTCCCGCGTATAAGACGACTTCCGCGTATAATATGACCCCTGACTTTTGAGAAGATTTTCTTGGGTTAAAAAGTAGTCTTATACGCCAGAATATATCACCAATACTTGTTTCCATGAACACCCAAAATTTTCAAAATCCAATTACAGGGACCGAAAGTGAGGAAAAGTTGTCTGAGCAGGGGGACAGACAGAAAAACAAATGTTACAGGTGTGTTAACCCTTCCCAATGTGATCAAAAAGTTTTTAAAAGCACCATGTACTATTTTTGTCTGGAGTTACACTTTGAAAATGTATCTGTTCTGAATAACATACAAATTCTATTTAAGAACAATCTTAAAGAACTTATTTTGTCTGTAACCTGGGAACCACCTGTATCTGCCTGCTTGTATTTTAAGACCATTGGGACGGGCTGTTATCTTAAGTACTATAGGTGAAATTTTGTAATAACCAGGAAAATAACCTTTTGTTTGTGATATCAAATATTTTCATTTGTTTTTACTAAAATATTTTTGTAGAGCAAAGGGTTCAAGATCTCACTAAAGAGAGAAGGCTTTTAGCTGCAGCACTGGAAGCAATTATTCAAGATTTAGAAGAGGAACAAGAGGTAGTTGGAATAAGAGACAAAGGTAAATATAGGAAAATGTTATTTACTTTCAGAATTGATTTTTACTAAATTTTGGCAGCATAACAATAGTATCCAGTGGCTATTTACCCTCTGTAACTCATCAAGAGAAAGGTTCATCCTGTGGCTTTAGAGCATGGTTTCTCAAACCTTTTCAGCTGTGGAGCCCTTTCTGAAGCAAAAGTTTATTGTGAAGGTTCAAGAAATGTTTATATATTGTATATAATGTGTGTGTGTATATATACTTGGGCAAAGTTTTGGACACAGTGAGTTTTAAAATTTGACAGCGGGGCTGGGCCAGTGGCAGATAGATGGAGAGTGTTTGTGTGAACAAATTGATACAAAAACATGAACAAATTCCTATGCACACTGCACATATCTTGTCTGTAGTGCAAAATAAGAAAGAAAGAAAGAACAATACAAGATTTAAAATGAAAAATATTTTTAACTGACATAAACTTAACAGTATTTCAGTGGAAGACCCCAAGGATGATCCAGTCCAAACCCCCTCTGCAATGCAGGAAAAGCACAATCAAAGCACCCCAAACAGATGACCACCCAGCCTTTATTTATTTATTATTTATTAAGAATATTTATACCCCGTCCTTCTCAACCTCCAAAGAGGCCCAGCCCTTGTACTACTACTACTACTACTACTATTCTTACTAATAAGAATAATAATTTCAATTGCTTCCCCCTGAAGAAATTTGAGGAGGGGCTGGGCTTGTTTTGAGTGTCAGGATTCTCATACATAGACATTTTTGTCAGGGATGTTCATGACCCCATAGGGACTGACCCATTATTGGGAGCTTTGGATTGAATGCCTCTTTAAAGGCTGGCCGCCCAAGGGCATTGGGAGGGGGACTGCTTGGAAGCATGTGTACAAGTCACACGTATTTTCTGAAGGGAGAATCTTTCATCTTCTGAGGGATGCCTTTGGTCCTTGTTATGTGTGGTCAACACCCCACTGGCATTTGGTTCCAAACTGGATCTCTCTTAGTCTGTGTTTTTCTGGGGGAGGGGGTCCCATGAGGAAGGAAGGAAGGAAGGTCTCCCTGAACTGAGGGATGTCTTTCGCTGGGAACCAAAGGAGGTGGAGACTGAGTGAAATCTTCAGAAACTATTTGAGAGGTGCTTTTGCCAGTGACACTCACCAGGGTCGGAGGAGGGGAGACACCCTGGCAATGGTGCCTTCTTCTCCTCCTTCTCTCTCAGTCAACTTTCAACCTGTCTTCTGTCAGGACTATAAACTCTGACTCCACTGCCCTCCTCCCTTTCTTCCCTAGCTCAGCTACCAGGTTTCATGTGTTTTCTGCTGCCTCTCCCTCCTCCTCCCACCATCACCGCTCAGAGCTGAGCCACTTCCCTATGGAGTCTCCCCCTTACAGCAGTAGCAGTGGTGGTGGTGGTGATGGCAGTGGGTACTTGATGGGCTGTGCTGGGGTCTCCTCGGCAGCTTGGGCTCTAGCTTCAGCAGCAGCAACAGAGCCGAGCTTGGTGGTCCCCACCAATTTTAATTTTAAAAGCACAATCAAGGGCCCAGGTTACGTGAGAGCACCCCTGAGTGGTGGAAGGGAAATAAGATTCTGGAAGCAAGGAAGGTGAGCAGAAAAGGGTGTGGGCAGTGACGGAGATGGGGGGAAAGTCTTTTGTGGGTGAGGGAGGCAGGGGGAGGGTGAGGAGCAACAAAGAGGAGGGAAAGTTTGGAGGGGAAGGAGGAGAAGGGAAGCGCGAAGCCACTCAGTATGCTTTGCGGAACCCTAAGGGTTCCATGGAGCACATTTAAGAACTGCTGCTTTAGAGCATGGATGGAGAACAGATAGTGCTTCTGATGTTGGTAGAGTGCAAGTCCCAATAGCCATAGCCAGCATAGGGGTTGATGTAAGAGGTAATTCAAATATATTTTTATTCCTATCCCAAATGTAGAAAATATTTGGAGTTATGTGAGTTTGCTTTTCTGCAATGAAAAATTATTTATTGGTTAGGATTAGGTAAGTTTTAGGAGAGAAAGTCCTTTATTTTTAGCCATTTTCTCATTCTCTTTGTAGAAGAAGTTTTGGAAGAACTATCGGAAAAAAGGAGAGTGATTTTGAAGAATCTGGCATCAAATCTGAAGCATCTGGACGAAGCAAAGGCTCTTGCTGCTGCCCAGCCAGATGATGTCAGTGGTAAGTATTTTACTTGAGCTGACAATTCAATTCATAGTTGGGTATCTGTTGTCAATTTAGAATTCAGTCTTGAACTGTGGGCAACATGGATTACTAAAAATTACAGAATGAAACTGAAGTAACCAGTAGTCCATTTCTGGTTTTGAAAAATTGGTGTTTTGTTTATATCCAAATGTGGATGGAGTGTCAGAAACACGTTGAACCATCTGTGCTTTCTTTTTCTAGGCAAGTCAATATCTTTTTGTTTCAGCAAGCCTTTGAGCATTGCCTGCTCAGACCCCTTCTATCCTGCCCTATATTTTAGGATCTTATCCCAGATTATCTGATTATCCTGAACTATATGGCAGTGGAGACTCAAATAATCCAGTTCAAAGCAGATAATCTGGAATTAGATTCTGGGATATAGAGCAGTGAAGATCCAGCCTCAGTTGAAAGGACCTTTCATAATGTGTTGTGTTGTTTATATTTTTGTATTGTTCTTTCAATGGTTTTGTTAATAAATTAAGGAAACTGGAGATAATCCTAATGAAATAATTCACTCTGGTCAAGAGGGAGGTGGAAAATTTTTCCCATCTAATATTTCATTCTTGAAAATGCATCTCCTATTCCTTTTAAGTTGCACTAAAATACATACGCAGCCTGACACTGGCCTAGATAAACAGACCAATTCAGAAGATCCCAGGCCACTCCTAGGTTGCTCATAGAATACTTGGATTAGAACCCTATATGAAGGCCACAGTTGCACTCACTATTGAGGTCAGTGTAAATGTGGAGATGTCCCACAGTGGCCAAACACCACATAGGACTTATCCTGGGTAATGCAGAGCAAGAGCATCTTAATGCAGCCTTGTGTTGCATTAGCCAAAGTTGGGGGAGTCCAAATTCTACTATAGATTTCGGACATTTGGGCTAGGTCATAAACAGAACCAGAGACAATTGTCCCCATTTTAACCCCATGTTTCTTGGACTTCAGCAGCTCAGTGACATTAGATGACAGTCCCCTCTGCTCCCCTCTTTCTGTGGCCTCTTCTACACTGCCATGTAATCCAGATTATAAAACAAGTAATCCACATTATTTGAAATGGACTATATGAGTCTACACTGCCATGTAATCCAGTTCAAAGCAGATAATCTGGATTCTATATGTCAGTGTAGAAGGGGCTTGTGTTGCAGTGGTCACTGGTCATCACACAGATGCTAGCTGTTCTTCGTCATGTGCTGTGATGTCGGTTGGGGCAGCAGGGTGTACGGGAAAGAGGAAGAAGCTACCCTGGCTGATGTCATGGTGTGCAGCATAGAACACTAATAATTTAAACAGTCAAAAACCTCACTAAGCAATTTAACAATTACATATTAAACAATTTAGAAATCAGAACAGAAACAATTTCAAAGCTTGTTGAGCACAGAATCCAAAGACTTTGATAATCAGATGGAGCCAAAAAGGCTGATACGCAACACAGATAATTTACATTGTGCAGTATTTTCATATGTTGTTGTGCACCTTCAGGTTGTTTCCGACATATGGCAGCTCTAAGGTGGGTAATTTTAGTAAGATTTATTCAGATGGTTTGTTTTGCCTTCCTCTGATACTGTGCAGATATGACTTGCCTAAGGTTACCTACTGGGTTTCCATGGCTCAACGGGGATTTAAACCTGGTCTCCATAGTCAGAATCAAATGTTCAAACCTATGCTGGCTTTCAGGGTTTTTTTCATACAAAACACCGGATCCATTTTGAAAGAGAAAATAACATGAACTGCCAAGAATGTTGTTGAATGTAATTTGTGTTAATTTATTTTTTAGATCAAAAGGTAGAAGAACTCACTGAACAAAGGAGGCTTTTGGCTGTCGGGTTAGATGCAATTATGCAAGAAATAAAAGATCTGGTTTTAGACACAGCAGAGGTATTAAAACCCACAGGTGAGTATGGATCTCAAAATATAATCAGAAGCAGTGATCGCTATTATCTAAGCAATTGGACTAGCTGACACTTAAGTTATTCAATCTCAAAATGGAATGTGTTCCCTTTTCTTCATCTGAAGACTTGTGTTTCCTAGATGCCACAAATTGAAGCATTATGGAGATTTTCTAATCTAATGCAATATATCATCTTTTTTCTGCAAAAAACAAAACAAAATAAAAAACAAAAACAAAACAGGGGTTCCCAGTCCTTCAAAAAGTCAGTGATGATTTTTCTCTAATCAGAGCAGACTCTTGTTAAAGTTTAGTCTAATGACCGTACAGTGTTACTCTCAGTTTACCCTGACACACACAAATTCCCTCTCAGGGTTAAAGTGTGTATTTCAGATAAACAGAATAACAAAAGACCTGGGATGTTTACACATCTACAGCATCCTCTTTTAATTAAGTTGATATTCTCTGAGATAACTTAACATGGCAGCTGTTTGTTTGTTTTTTTGGTGTCAGGAGCGACTTGAGAAACTTCCAAGTTGCTTCTGATGTGAGAGAATTGGTCGTCTGCAAAGACGTTGCCCGGGGATGCCCGGATGTTTTACCTTCCTTGTGGGAGGCTTCTCTCGGATCCTCTCACCTCTGCAGGAGTCTACCGTATACCATGCAGCTGTGGACAAGTCTACATAGGGACCACCAAACACAACGCCCAAACACAAATCAAGGAACATGAAAGGCACTGCAGACTAGTTCAACCAGAGAAGTCAGCCATAGCAGAGCACCTGATGAACCAACCTGGACACAGCATATTATTTGAGAACACAGAAATGCTGGACCACGCTCACAACCACCATGTCAGACTACACAGAGAACCCACTGTAATCCACACAAGCATGTGGACAATTTCAACAGAAAGGAAAACCATGAAAATGAACAAAATCTGGCTACCAGTATTAAAAAACTCTAAAATTATAACAGCTAAACAACAGAGAGGAAAAAAACCAGGCACAGATTAACACCTCCCAGCAACAGATTTTCCCAGACTCAGGCAGGCCTTCAAATGCTAATGAAGGTGATCAGCTAAACATTCACACCTAACTGCAGCAGGGAAGAGCTCCTTGCCCCACCCCAGCCATTCCACAGATATATAAACCCATTGTCCTAATTCCAACAGACCTCACAACCTCTGAGGATGCTTGCCATAGATGCAGGCGAAACGTCAGGAGAAATGCCTCTAGAACATGGCTCTATAGCCCGAAAAAACCCACAAGAACCTAGTGATTCCAGCCATGAAAGCCTTCGACAATACATAGATCAAACATAGTTTAGACTGAGGCATTACCTTGGCAGATTTCCCGGTTTCCAGAGCCTGCATTCCCAGAGGCTTCAAGTTTCCAAGTACGGTTAGTGAGATGCTAACAGGTTCCAGGTTTTTCTAGTGTTGCTTTTGGAATTTTGATCTAGTTCATAGGTATTCCTGACTGCTGAATTTTACTGTGGCTTTTTGGACTTTGTATTTTCCTCTATTGTGTAACCATTTTTTATCAATAAAAAAGGATTGTTTTTTCCTACAGTCAAGTGTGGTGGATTAATATCTTATGGTCTTGTTTCCTTATCTTGCAACACCTGTCAGTCTTCAATCCTGTCAGCACAAAGGTTTAACCCATTGCACCACTGGGGGCTCCAGCAGTTGGTTTACATTCACCTTTGAGCATAAACAGGATATGAAACAGCATCATGATTTTCCCAAATTGTGTATGCAGTGAAATCCATTGGAGCAAAGAGTACTCTGGAAAACATCATAATGTTTTTCAAACATTTCTCACTACTCTTTCTATTCTTGGAATCATATTCTATTCACTGTACCTGTCTGGTGCTTCCTCCTCATTACTGTCTCTTGCACGTCTCAGGTATCTTCCTTATCTTCTATTTTGACATTGATATAGCTATTTCTGTTTTAACTTTCTTTCATGATAGATAACATTTTTAGATAAAAATTCTACACTGTTTCTGTTTACAGGGAGAGAATTAGATTTGTTTGAAAAGAGACTATTGTTTTTTGAAAATCTGCAATTAAGTGTGGAAGAGCTGAAAGATTTGCATGCCGCTGCAAGCGCTGAACCTGATGGTATGAGTGGTAAGTAAAGTGTTCCTGATACATTTCGTCAGTGGTCTTTTATGCATGGTAAGTAGGGTAGAACCATGTGAGCGCTGTGGCTACTAGAGTGTGAGACAGCAGAATGCAAGTGAAGTAAGAATTATGCCAATTGTTGGGTGTATCTTCAAGTCAGTGATCATGGCAAAAAAAAAAAACTGTAGTAAATTATACATTAATGATTTTTTTTAATACAAATGAATGTACAGAATATGATTGCACCTAGAATCATAGCGATGGAAGAGACCTCGTGGGACATCCAGTCCAACCCCCTACCAAGAAGCAGGAAAAGCACCCCTGACAGATGGCCACCCAGCCTCTGTTTAAAGGCCACAAAAGAAGGAGCCTCCACCACACTCTGGGGCAGAGAGTTCCACTGTTGAATAGCTCTCACAATTAGGAAGTTCTTCCTAATGTTCAGGTGGAATCTCCTTTCCTGTAGTTTGAAGCCATTGTTCTGTGTCCTAGTCTTCAGAGCAGCAGAAAACAAGCCTGCTTCCTCCTCCCTATTACTTCCCCTCACATATTTATACATTGCTATCATGTCTCCTCCCAGCTTTCTTTTCTACAGGCTAAACATGCCCAGCTCTTTAAGCTGCTTGTTCTCCAGACCCTTGATCATTTTAGCCACCGTCCTCTGGACACCTTCCAGCTTGTCAACATCTACTTTAAACTGCTGTGCCCAGAATTGGATACAGTATTCCAGATGTGGTCTGACCAAGGCAGAATAGAGGGGTAGCGTGACTTCCCTGGATCTAGACAATATTCTCCTATTTATACAAGCCAAAATAGGAGTATAATAAGCGACAGTGTTCCCTCGCTACTTCATGGTTTGCTTATTACAGACTCGCTGTTTTGCGGATTTCAAAAAATATTAATTTAAAAGATATAGCATGGTATTTTTCATTGTTTTGTGGGGTTTTGTCACCACCGCTCTCGAAGGTGCTTTCCCTCCTCAGTCCTCCCTCCCTCCCTCCCTCCCTCCCTCCCTCCCTCCCTCCAGCCTTGAAGGGTCTTTCCTTCCTTTCCTTTCCTTCACTATTTTAAGTTTATAATGACTTAAATAGTGTATAACTTCTAAAATAATGTATAAATATTAAAATAGAGCATCCCTACATTGCGGTTTTTCACTTATTGGGGAGGTCCTGGAACCTAACCCCAGCAATAAGTGAGGGGACACTGAATTTGCAAGGATTCATTAAACATGTGTTTCAGAAGTCAGTTAATTCATTATTTAATATTAGAGAGGTGAAAGCACAAGAGCGAATAATTCAGAAGAGCCAAACAAGCAAACATTGGTTGGTAATACAGAACATAGCAGAAAAGTATCAGCATTGCTAAGAGAGTGTAATAACAAAGAACGGACAAAATGTACAAGGAAATGAAAGCTCTTAAAAGAGCAGAACATTTTTGGGTCAGAGATGGAAGATGATCTACAGAAAAGTGATGATCACATGGTAGTGGAGGAGGTGATTCCTCAGACCCAGATTCAGATAGGGAGAATATTCTGCACAGCTTCTTACAGTATTACAGTATTGGAGGTATGGTTTAGAAGTTTGTTGAAGAAAGTGATCTAGACATAAGCATTAGAATGGAATCTACGTGGCTCACTGACAGATAATGAGGAAGAAAGTACAACTATAGAATAGTAATGGTCTTGAGGAGGCCACACTGTCCTCCTTCCAGAGGGATTTGAAGACTTGCATGTTTAAACAAGCCTTTCAGAATGTCTAGCCCCAATGGCACAACACCACAATTAATGACACAACACTGCACTTTCCCTTGTTCCTTAGCTACAATTTGCACTATCCCATTCCCTTGTCTTGTTTACAGTTTGGCCATGTTTGGCAGTTGTCACCATATGTTATTGGGCATAGTTCTGAGTTTTAAATTGTTGTTTTATATGCTATTGGATTTACTTTTTTATATTGATCTGTGTGTTCAGTTTATACATTGTTTTAGGCACTTTGTGTCATCTGTAAGCCGCCCTGATTCTCTTCGGGGAGATGGAGGTGGGGTACAAAAATAAAGTTGTTGTTGTTGTCGTCGTCATCATCATCATCATCATCATCATCAAAATTCCACTGATAGGTAGACTATCCACTGTTGAATAGTACAATTATACCAATATTAACCCCAGAAGAGAGCATGGACAAAGTCTGAGCTGTTGATCAGCTGTCATCAATCTGATCCTCTCTGGAAGGACAGATGCCAAGTAAAAATGACCAGTATTACTGGGTAATAGAGTCTTTGTATGCTAAGAGATCAAAGGTATGTTTGAAACCAATAAACCAATGAACAAGTGCAAAATATTTGATTTTATTAAGAAGGCTGCCATTTGTTTCTTCAAATTTCTGGATCATTTCTTCATGCAGTGATCATTTTTAAAAAAGCTATATTTGCAATATCTTCTAAATCATTAATTGTCTTGGAAGACTGAAATGTTAAGCATTCATGGGCTCAGAAATCTCTGTGTTTTTTTGGGGGCATTTTTTTCCAGTAATTATAGCTCTGGTGTTTATCAAACAGTTTAAAAATTCAAATAGTTTTAAAATACCCAATGGTAACATGACCTTTTATTTTACACAGAACAGAAAAAGCAGGAATTAGCAGAGAAGACAGAACTTTTGACTAATAGTATTGAATCCATGCTTCAAGAAATGGAAGAAGCACAGACTTCTGATGTAGACCAAAGTGCAAAGACAGGTCCAGACAGTAAGTGCAAATCAGCATGCTGGAACTGATCTCGGCTCGCCTCCCAATATGTCCTATTCAGCAGCATCCTTTCCTCACGATGGCCAGAAAATCAGGGACAGGCTGACGTGTATAAGAGTCACAGATACAAAATCTAGGGAGATTGGGTGGCAACTATAGGAGCTGTGCACTGAAATCTGCTGAAAAGATAAAATGTACAAAGCTGAACTCCAAACAGAAGTAAACACTTCTGTTTTGGAGAGTATAGCAAAGACATTGAGCGGTGATGATCTAATAAGCTATTTCTCTGATACTTTGACGAACACAATTATGTTTTGCTATTTATAATTGCTGGATCAAGTAACAAATAGAGTTTATAAATTATAGGAGATACTACTAGCTTAATATGCCCCAACTCTGTTGTATACTTTATTCACATACTTGATAGTAAAATATGTCATGTAAATTTGTTGTTCAGTCTCCATGTAGATCAGTGTTTCTCCACCTGGGGGTTGAGACCCCTGGGGGAGGTGGTGAGAGGGTTTCAGAGGGGTGCCAAAGACCATCAGAAAACATATTTCTGGAGGTCTTAGGAACCCCTTTGGCAGAGAAGGATGAAGATCTCTCTGCCTATCCTTCTCTTCCTTTTTGGAAACAGATGGGGAATCCGCCCACCTAAAGCCATCCTCCTGCTGTGATTGGCTGGCCGCTCACATGTGATCCATGCACACCTAACCAATTTCACCAGTGGGAAGTGGCACACATCTTCATTTGTCACACAGGCAGTTGTTAAATATGTATTTGGAGCCCAATGGATGATTGGCCTTTATTATTTACTTGAGAGGGCTGTTTCTGAGACTCCAAGTGGGAAGGGGAGAGCAGGCGTACTCTCCCCTAAATCACTGGCACTTCCTCCCAAATCCCTCCAGTATTTCCTGTTGGTCATGGGGGTACTGTGTGGGAACTTTGATCAAAATTCTGTCATTGGTGAGATTCAAGGGGCTCTTTGATTGTATGTGAACTATAAATCCCAGCAACTGCAACTCCCAAATGTCAAGGTCTATTTCCCCCAAACTCCACCAGTGTTTACATTTGGGCATATTTAGTATTTGTGCCAAATTTGATCCAGATCCATTATTGTTTAAGTCCACAGTGCTCTCTGGATGTAGGTGAACTACAACTCCAAAACACAAGGTCAATGCCCACTAAACCCTTCCAGAATTTGCTGTTAGTCATGGGAGTTCTTTGTTCAAGTTTGGTTCAATTCCATCATTGGTGGAGTTCAGAATGCTCTTTGGTTGTAGGTGAACTATAAATCCCAGCAACTACAACTCCCAGATGACAAAATCAACCCCCCCCCCCCAATTTCATCAGTACTCACATTTGAGGAGTATCGGATATTTGTGCCCAATTTGGTCCAGTAAATGAAAATACATCCTGCTTATCAGATATGTACATTATGATTCATAGTAATAGCAAAGTTGCAGTTATGAAGTAGCAACAAAAATAATTTTATGGTTGGGGGTCACCATAACATGAGGAACTGTATTAAGGGATCCTGGCATTAGGAAGGTTGAGAACCACTGATGTAGATAATTCATATTTTGTTGTGTATGGGCGAATAAATTATTTCACCCCAAACAAATGCTAAAATTGGAAAACTATTCCGAATTCTCCTGTTAATTTTCTTGAATTTCAAGAACAGCCGAACTGTAATGATGAATTGATTTAAGAGCAAATCTTCTAACTTATGTTTGGATAGACTTGGAGGCACCACACTAATTTCACAATGACTACCATGATATGGGAAGATATATGTGAACATATATAGAGAGGGGCCCCTTGGTGGCGCAGTGGGTTAAACTGCTGAGTTGCTGAACTTGCTAACTGAAAGGATGACAATTCAAACCTGGGGAGTGATGTGCGCTCCCGCCATTTGCCCTGGTTTCTGCCAACCTAGCAGTTTGAAAACATGCAAATATGAGTAGATCACTAGGTACCCCTTCTGCAGTCATGCCAGCCACATGACCTTGTAGGTGTCTACGGAAAATGCCGGCTCTGTGGCTTAGAAATGGAGATGAGCACCAACCCCTAGAGTCAAGCACGACTAGACTTAATGTCAGGGGAAACCTTTACCTTTTATACATACGGAAACTCTGTGTGTGTGTGTGAGTGAGAGAGAGCCGGGGGGGGGGGGGGGGGGGGAGAAATGTATATTAGGGACTCTTTCAACACCACTTTTCTAAGAATTCTCATGGATTTTGCATAATATCTGTATTGAAGAAAATATTAAGTAATGCATTCAGTTATTAAGTGCATTTATTGTTATATTTCTAGGGAAAGATTTTAATGATTTGATAATGCTTTCAAGTTTGGAATCAAAACTGGATGAACTAGAAGAATCAGGAACTCTATCAGCTACTCAATTGGATGGTATAAGTAAGTACAAAATGAAGAACGTGTGTGTACTCTTAACAGGTACATGAAGCTGAATTAATCTGAATAAGTGTTTTTTTAAGACAACTGTTCTTAGGCTAGCCGACAAAGCAGTCCTCACAAGCTTTATTCCCTCATTCCATCAGTAGGATAGGAGGCTCAAAATTCTAATTCTGTTAGATCTTTTCAGTCTCCACTGACCTTTTACAAGTGACATTACAAGCGCAGCACCAGTTACATTGCCAAACATGATGGACTTCTTAACACAAAGTTCTATTCAGCATTTAGTGGTTCCCAACTTTTTTTGACCACGGATCACTTGACCAGGGACCGCTTTGACCAGGGACCACTCTCTAACATTAGTATCAAAAGGGTTACGAATCGGTTTTTGGTCAACTTTACATTTGGTTTGGTTATTTGGGATACTGTTTTAGAAAACTGCATTGGATAGACCACATCAGCTCTACATATGATACAGAACATATGCCATCCAGTCGTAACCATCATCTGCCAGTGTAGTCTACATTACCATTTGTTTAGTCAACAGCCATAAACTATTGTAGTTGATCATCTTTAAAAGCTATTTTTTCTCCACTGACTACATTAAAATTATGTTATTTTTGTAGGGAAAAAAGTGCGGTTTTTAAAAGGAGAAAAGAAAAGTTTGATTGATAAATGGCAGACACCTGCTGTAGAACATCCAGCAGCACGTGCAGATGATAGTAAGTACTGAAAATATCTATAACCCTGGGCTACTGGGAATTTCATATGGGAAAATGAAGTTAAATTGCTACCAAAAAAAAAAAAGTCCATCACATCCTTCAATTTCAGTAAGTCTTCATTTCCTCTTCCTTTTCTTCTTGGTGTACTAGTCTATTTTAACTAAACTAAGAATATAAAACAACCAAACCTGCTCTGAACATAACCTAGCCAAAATTGAATATATTTAGTTTTCATTTATTTTTGTGACAGAATGACAGTGCATATATAGGTTGAGTCTCCTTTAACAGGAAATTTAAAATATAAAAAAAACGGAAACACATATTTCAGTTATATACACTTGTATGCTTCTTTTTATTATTCTCTCTTTGTGTCTGTGGAGTTACCAGAAGGTTTTTTAAGTTAAGTGATTGTGCTGAAGTTTCATGGGAAATGTGAGGTTTGTTATTGGCCTTCCCAACGTTTGGACTAGCATGGACAGAATAATTTGTGGAAGGAATATGACTGAGGATGATTTACCTGTATATTACACAGTTTTCGCTTCATATGGAATTATTCAATCAGCTTTTAAATTAATGTCAGGTACAAGTTTTAGACTATGGTTTTAATTGATGTATGCATTATTATATATTTTGAATTCTTTATATCATTTAGTTTAGTTATATTTTATTGTTTCAATTTATTACTCTGGGAAGGCTCTTGGTAGGAGATTTCCTTGAAAAACAGAATAGAAAACTATTAAAGTAAGCAAACAAAAGCATATTACTTTCTTACCACATGAAGTGTTTCCATGACATTGTTTCAAGTTTCTAGAGGAGGGTGTCCCTGGCACTGAGCTACCAGATGTGATTAATATTTAATATTTGTTTTTTAAATAAAGAAAGCCAGAAAGAAAAAGTGGTAAAAGAATTCATTGAACAAAGAAAAGATTTATTTTCATACCTTCAATCAACTATTAGAGACCTGCAAGAAAAAGGCATAATTCGAGAAAGAGAAAAAGAAAAAGGCATAATTCAAGATAGCACTATTCCTGGTAAGTACAGTTTTATCCCTGATCATTATGATGTCTTTTTTCACTAATCACTGATTTTTTAACAATTACAATTGAATTATAATACTTGTGAACTAACATTGCACGAGAAACAGTGATTTTCTCAAGGCCATTAATAAGCTTTACAGATGATGAGTATTGCCCACATAAAACTAGATTCAGGCTTAGAACTACTTGGAGTAAATCCATTGAAATCACCTGGACATAACCAGCAAAAGAATTGAGTTGCAGTTTGCACTATATTGCCCTGTATTGACCCCCTATTTGCATCATAAAGACCCCTTAAAATCTGGACCTAATTTGTGTGGAAAGTGTCACAATCTCTCCCCTACCTAAAATAATGCCAGGATAAAAAGTTCATGTCATATCCATGTGTGTAATATATTGAATTATTTTCAGACACAGAACTTGCAGCACTAGTTTATTCTTCTTTTTGACATGTATGAACCTATCAACTAGCAGGCCTTCTTCCTGCTGATCTTTCCATTCACCTTGTACTTTTATTTTTTGGAAAATGGCATTTATAACCTTTTGGAAAAACACATTTTGGAGATCATAACTTCTTAGAAAAGCATGACCTTTCAGAGAAGAGCCAAAAGCTCTTTAGAGTAGAATCTTCTTATAGTATACAACCAGATATAATTATGCAAGGCAGTGGTTTCAGTTGTTAGACTGAATAACCTGTTATCTCTTATCTGTTAGGAAAACAGATTTGCTAGTGCATAAAAACAGCAGAGCTTTAGGAGTGTTTTTCAGTGCCCAAAAATATGTACTCTCCCATAAAACAACTTGTTTTATATTAAAAAATGAAGTAGACTTTGATAAAAATAACATATTTGGCTTACTCACAACTTTCATGTGTTCATCATACACAGGTATAAAACTTACTAGTCCAGTTTCAGATATGTTTTAGGTGGTTCTCTGTGCCATCTGGCCAGGGCATTTCTTACAACAAAATAGCTATCAACAGATCACATAGTCAAAAAAAGGGGGGAGAGAGAGCATGTAGTCTGCAGGCCTTTTTATAATTTCTTAGGAACCATAGAGTAAGGGAGGGTGCATACCAGAACATGCATACAGGATACAGTAAACAACAGGATCATAGATAAACAGATTGCTAGAGAAGGCTTGAAGAGGGCTGTCATTTCCAATACTTATTAGATGGCACCTTTGTACTATCCCCTTCCTTTGGTCATGCTCTAGTGAGTAATCATGAGCAAGCAAGGGAACCTCGAATATCTCCTGACATACAGTCACATAGGACAGAAAGTGGATTGTGCTTAGGTATCTGAGTCAGAAGAGGGAGAAGAAACATGGGGCGACATCTGAGGATGCCTGCCATAGATGTGGGCAAAATGCCAGGAGAGAATGCTTCCAGCTATGAAAGCCTTCGACAATACAGAGAAATTGTGTTTCTTTGTCTTTTGCTACTCAATTATATTGGTATTTATCTTCTTTCATGGAGTTCCTGGTGGTGCAATGGGTTAAACCCTTGTGCCAGCAGGACTGAAGACCGACAGGTCACAGGTTCGAATCCAGGGAAAATGCAGATGAGCTCCCTCTGTCTGTTTTTTTTTTTATATAGACAAAGGTTTTCAAGACATACCAAAAGAAAAAATGGCATTGGATAAATATTTCATGACAGTTCCAGAAGATGTTCTGGAAAAAGAGGCTGCTGCTTTACTTGCTGAATATGGACAAGCAGGTAAGTGTAAAAATAATCCTCCTCTTCCTCTTTCCTAATAATAATAATAATAAATAAATAAATAAATAAATAAATAAGAAGCTTAATAATAAGCTTACATGATACAAGGATTTAAAGATAGAACTGCAAAGAGTCCAGCAAAAGCCAGTAAAGGTGGTCCCAGTGGTGATCGGCACACTGGGTGCAGTGCCTAAAGACCTTGGCCTGCACTTAAAAACAGTCAGCACTGACAAAATTACCATCTGTCAGCTGCAAAAGGCCACCCTACTTGGATCTGCACACATTATTCGCCGAGACATCACACAGTTCTAGATCCTTCTAGAAGTGTCCGACGTGATCAGATACAAAAGTGATCTTGTTTGCCGTGTACTAATCTTGTTGTGTATTAAATAACAGCAGCAGCAACAACAACAGAACAATCCCATTTAATAGATTCCTCACATCTTTACAGAATTCTTTGACTTAAGAATTGTGTTGTTGTTTTTCTGTGTGAGAGGTAATCCACCGTTTTTCTTTAATGTGTTGTAATAGACTGCGTGTCCGGTACATAAACACCATAAAAAGACTAAAGTAGAGTCCAAAGTCAAGGTCTTGGCAAATAATATGTGCAGATCCAAGTAGGGTGGCCTTTTGCAGCTGACAGATGGTAATTTTGTCAGCGCTGACTGTTTTTAAGTAACGGTACCTGCCTCATTGTTGCAACAACAACAACAAAAAAAACCCCAAAACAATGTATGGACAATACATCAAGGAATAACTGTTATCCATGTCTAGATTCCTTTTCAAGACATGGAGGGCTTGGCCCTTTAAATCATTTGGTATATTCTATTCTTCTTGATTTTTACAATGATTTTATTTCAGTGTCTGTATTGCTGTTTTTACTGGTTTGTTGCACTCCATTTTGGTGGCTTTTACAGAAAAGCTGCATACAAACATGATACCTCCAACCATATACATACTACAGTGCAAGCAATATGATTACCAGTCATATCGGTTGCACTGGTTCAACTCTTTATTTTTCATTCATTTGGATGGTATTCAGAATTTATCTGTATTTCCTATATGCTTTCAACAGCAATAGAATTTTGTATATTTTATTTTACATGCCATCAAATGAACATTACAAAAAAATAGCTGTGGTGTTCAAACTTTTTCCAAAAGCAACTAGTGCTTGTAATCCTATATAGTTTGTATAATCAGAAACTTTGTATCTAGATGAGAAAACGGCAAAACAAAGGGCTTTGGCTGCAAAGCTAGAAGCAAACGTTAAAGACCTGAAAGCTGCTTACGATAAGGAGAAAACGAGAAAAAAAAATGTTGGTGAGTAAAAGCAACCCATATAGCATTTTTATTATTCAGTAACTGGAAATGCTATAGATTATTTTGATTCTATTGAAAAAGATATAAATTAGGGTTGACTAAACTACTGAGAAATTAAAGTTTAACTCAGAATAGTGGGAAACTGTAGTTTCTAACTATCTGAAAGTTATGGTGAGCTTATTGCTTGTGTTTCACCCTCTTTTCATGTCCTCATTGTGGAGCCCTTGGTGGCACAATGTGTTAAACCCTTGTGCCGGCAGGACTGAAGACCTACAGGTCAGAGGTTCTAATCTGGGAAGAGTGCAGATGAGCTCCCTCTGTCAGTTCCAGCTCTCCATGCGGGGACATGAGAGAAGCCTCCCACAAGAATGGTAAAACATCAAAACATTGGGTATCCCCTGGGCAATGTCCTTGCAGACGGCCAATTCTCTCCCACCAGAAGTGACTTGCAGTTTCTCAAGTTGCTCCTGTCACACACAAAAAAATCCTCATTGCAGATCTCTTTTATGCCTGATTTTAAGTGTAAACCATGACATCCAAATTTTGGAAAGTGTGACTTGTTAAAGCAAGAATGAGAAGAGTATTATCTACAGAAATTGTTTATGCATCATAGCCAGTACAGCCAATGGCGATGAAAGTTGGGTGTTGCAGTCCAACATCTGGAAAACCTCGTTTTGCTCATATCTGGTTTAAACTGACATTTGAGCCCTTTCCCAGCTGATGTTGGGGGCACCTATATAGTCTCTGGCCCTTCTGGGTATTATTACTGGCATTGTTTATTTATTACTGGACAACTTGGAACAAACCTTAAAGCTGCAAACTTTAAATGTATAAGTGAGATACTGAATTACTTGAGGGGACTGTTGTCTATTATTTAACAGTGTTTAATTAGTATATGGGACTACTGCATGTTTATCCTTTCCATGGCATATATGAATAATCTCTCTCAGAACCAGGAGCACTAAGAAGAAGAAAAATAACCTCTGAGCCAGCCATTCAGCAACAAGTTGTGAAACCATCACTGTCAGGGCTACGAATACAAATCCTTAAAGTACCTGGTAAGAACAAAACGTTCTGCTTAAAATATGGTTTCCTGAACGTACCCCAACTATTTCTAAAATGTATGATTTTTCACAGAGGGGCCTGGAGATAAAGTTACAACAAGAGAATGAGAATACTGTTTGTAATGAAGCTATAGTTATATGTTTTATTTTCTAGTCACTGAAGGCTGAACAAATAGTTATGAGCCAGTGACTCCACCACCGAAACATTTAGCTTTAGTTGGTTGTGGTGTAAATTCCATTGATTTCATAGGTCAACCCTTAACTGTTGACCTTTCCAAGTCTGTGTTGGGCAGAATACTTTGTTGCATTATTATGTGCGTTTAAAGTGTTTTATTTTGCTGTATGTCATTGTTATTATCAGTTACCACAACGATTGATTTTGGACTGAAGGGAGAGATATAAATAATAAAAATAATATCTTACCTGAGGATTTTGAAATCTGAGCATTGCAAAAATATTGCTAATGCTAATTTAATCAAATATGATACCTCTTCAATTGCAAGACAGCATTCATTATAAGGTGCACCCTAATTTCAGTACTACTACCAACAAACATACATAAGAGAGACCTGCAATTCTAAGATGCATCCCATTTTTAGAGATGTTTATATAGGAAAAAAGTGTGTCTTAGAATGGAAGAAATACAATAACCATTTCCAAGTTGATAAAACCATAACCATTTCCAAATTGATAAAATGTATAGAAATGTCTCAGTAAAATGAGTGTGGTATCAGAATGTACACTTTTGGAGTACAGGTAGTAGTAGTAGCAAGAAGAAGAGGAAGAGGAAGAAGAAGTTGTTGTTGTTGTTGATAAGTTGGTGGAAAAGTTGATAAGAAGAAGATCTGGTTATGGCTCACTAATGGAACACTGAGGAAAGAGACAGAAGGCCTGATTCTTGCAGCCCAGGAGCAAGCCATCAGAACAAATGCAATTCCTGCCTTGGAGCCTGACGATTCTATCGACGTCTTGGTGGATCTCTACAACAGGGAGATGTCCAGGGCGATAGATACGATCACTCCCGAACACCGTCATGACAGGCCATCTCCCTGGTTCACCGGGGAGCTGGCTGTGATGAAGCATACGAGAAGGGGGCTAGAGCGCAAGTGGAGGAGATCTCGGGACGTGTCTGATCAAGCACGGGCTAAAGCCTCTCTTAGGGCATACTCCGTGGCTATACGAGTGGCCAGGGAATCTTTCACGACCACCCGTATAGCGTCTGCAGCAAATAGATCATCGGAGCTGTTTCGGGTTGTCGGGGAGCTCCTTCACCCACCTGTGGTGGAGGAGATCTCTGACGACCCAGCAGCTCGGTGTTGCGACTTCGCACACCATTTTGCAGGCAAAGTTGCTCAGATACGCCTTGAGCTCGACTCCAATTTCATCGCAGTGCCAGAAGAGGTGACGGAGGTATCTGCTTGTCCAATTTTGTGGGATTCTTTTAGGCTTGTTCTTCCTGAGACCGTGGAAGAGGTCCTTGGGGCTGTGAGGGCGACCACTTCGACTCTAGACCCTTGCCCATCCTGGCTTATTAAATCTGCCAAGGAGGGGTTGGTTGATTGGTTTGTGTTGATTATTAATGCATCGCTGGAGCAAGGGATTTTTTCCATCTAATTTGAAACAGGCTGTGGTTCGCCCACTCCTCAAAAAGGTTTCCCTTGACTCCACGGTGCTGAGGCCAATCTCCAACCTCCCTTTTTTGGGTAAGGTGCTGAAGTGGGTGGTCACCTCCCAGCTCCAGGGCTTTTTGGATGACATCAACTACCTAGATCAGTCATAGTCGGGTTTCAGGCCTGGTCACGGCACCGAGACAGCTTTGGTCGCCTTGGTGGATGACCTCCGAAGAGAGCTTAACAAGGGACGTGTGACCCTGTTGGTTCTCCTAGATATCTCAGCAGTGTTCGATACCATTGATCATGGTATCCTTCTGGGGTGGCTCTCCGGAATGGGTTTCGGGGGCATTGCACTGCAGTGGCTCGGTCCTTCCTGGAGGGTCGTTCCCAGTCGGTGAAGCTGGGTGACTCCTGCTCAGACCCCTGGCCATTGACCTGTGGGGTCCCGCAAGGAACCATTCTGTCCCCCATGCTATTTAACATCTTCATGAAACCGCTGGGAGAGGTCATCCGGAGTTTTGGAGTTGGGTGCCATCTCTACGCAGATGACACACAACTCTACTACTCTTTTCCACCTAATTCCAAGGAGGCCTCTCAAGTGCTGGATGAGTGCCTGGCCGCTGTGGCTGTCTGGATGAGGAAGAACAAGCTGAAGATCAATCCCTACAAGACAGAGGTCCTCCTGGTTGATCGTAAACCGGATCGGGGTATAGGGTGGCTACCTGTGTTGGACAGGGTTACACTCCCCCTGAAGCCACAGGTCCGTAGCTTGGGAGTTCTCTTGGACTCATCGCTCACACTTGAGGCTCAGGCATCAGCGGTGTCCGGGAGGGCCTTTGCATAACTGAGACTTGTGCGCCAGCTGCATCCGTACCTCGCGAAGGCTGATCTGGCCGGGGTGGTCCATGCCTTGGTCACCTCTAGATTGGATTACTGCAATGCGCTCTACGTTGGGCTGCCCTTGAAAACGGCTCGGAAATTCCAACTGGTCCAACGGGCAGCAGCCAGGATGTTAACCGGGGCTCATTACAGAGAGAGGTCAACCCTCCTGTTTAAGGAGCTCCACTGGCTGCCGTTTATTTTCCAAGCCCAATTTAAGGTGCAGGTGCTTACCTACAAAGCCCTGAACGGTTTGGGACCACCCTACCTGCGTAACCGTATTGCTGTCTACGAACCCACACGCTCACTCCGGTCATCTGGAGAGGCCCTGCTCGTGATTCCGCCCACGTCGCAAGCGCGCTTGGTGGGGGCGCGAGACAGGGCCTTTTCTGTGGTGGCCCCCCGACTTTGGAATGCCCTCCCGAAAGATCTCAGACAGGCCCCTACATTGGTAGTCTTCAGAAAGAATGTGAAAACCTGGCTGTTCCGATGTGCCTTTTCAGATTAGGAACCTCCAGCACCAAGTCCTAGAAGCACGACTGTGGAAAAGAAAAGAGTTTGGATAATTGATGTCACCATATCAGGTGACAGCCAAATTGATGAAAAACAACAGGAAAAACTCAGCCGTTAACAGGACCTCAAAATCAAACTGCAAAGGCTCTGGCATAAACCAGGACAGGTGGTCCCAGAGGTAATCATCACTCTGGGTGCCGGGCCAAAGGTCTCAGCCGGCATTTGGAAACCATAAACATTGACAAAATCACGATCTGTCAACTGCAAAAGGTCATCTTACTTGGATCTGCGCGCATCATTCAAAAATACATCACACAGTCCTAAATTCTTGGAAAGTGTTTGACTTGTGATTTTGTCATATGAAATCCAGCATATATATCTTGTTTGCTGTGACATACTGTGTTTTTGTGTCAGAATAATAATAATAATAATAATAATTTTTAATTACTCGTCTCCCTTTGTGGCTCAACATGGGTTACAACATAGCTAAAAATACATCATCATTATATATAATGCACAAAATGCATGTATTAAAATTTACAGAACAATGATTAAAATATAGTGGACACAAGGTCCGCGTTTAAAATTCGAGATTAAAAAGGACTAGGTAGGTCTGCTAGAAGAGATAGGTCTTCAGGTGTGTTTTGAATTCTGACAGCTCATTTAGCTGTTAAGACTCTTCAGGCATGTCATTCTGTCATTAATACTTTTTGAACCTTAAAAATGTTCTTTCATCCATTTTCAGTGGGACAGATACATCAGGCACTTAAAAAAAATAAGTAGACACACAGACCCCAGTACTGGTTTTATAATATAATATAATTAGTTACACAAAGGGAAAACGTTGGATTTACTCAAGCATTCACTCATGCACATTCATTCAACATTCATACTCACCATCCCTCCTCTGTTCAGGCGTGATGCTGGGAGAAAAGAGGCAGGTGGACAGAGCTTCATCCCTGCAGATCTGGCACACAGTTAAAAGGGAAAAGGGTCTCTTCTGGAGAGCTTTTGGTTATCCATTATTTGGTTATTTAGATAACCTCTGTCATTCAGCTCAGATCTGCTGGAGCCTAATCAATTCCTGACCAGATAGGTTGTTTAAGTAGTTTAACTTAAAAGGCTATTGTCTTTGACTATGCAAACATATGTTTTTTGCACCCTAAGTTCTCAGTTCAGTTCAGCAGTTTTCTCATTAGCACTTTCCTCTGGGTGACGATCACCAGTCGGGTTCTTGCTGACAGGAGTAGCCATCCCCTAGAGGACCTAAATGTGTGGGGCTGATTGTATGTGAAAAGGCAATCCTGTAGTAACTTGGACCCAAATCAACACCTTGTACTTTGCCCAGAATCTAAGTGGTAGTAACTTTAGTGTTGGAGTGACTTTAGTATAGGTGTGATATGCTCACTCTTGGATGTTACTGTAACCATTCTGGCTGCCGAACTTGGTACCAGCGCATGCACTACCATCTTTAGGTTCTCCAAATCTAGGAATGGGTGCAGCTGGCCTATCAGCAGAATCTGGTAATAAACATTCCTGACTGTGGCATCTACCTGGGCTGACATTTGGGGAGATGGACCCAGGAGTGGTCCCAAGCTGCAAAAACAGTCTTTCATGGGGAGTGTAACCCTATCCAGAACTGGTTGGCATACCTCCATTCCCAGATTAGGACCCTTGATAGGAAGCATCTCTATTTTGTCTGATGTCTTGTCTATTTTGTCTCCACATGGCTGGAGTACTATTCATGCAGAGACACACACTATCCTAAAGCTGTTTTTGAAGGTATGGAGAAATATATTTGGATGTCATCAGCCTATTGATAGTATCCCACCCCATACCTCCGGGTGATCTCTCCCGGTGGTTTCATGTAAATGTTAAAAAGCGTTGGGGACAGAATGGCACCTTGTGGGATGCCATATAACAGCTCCTTTCTGAGGGGCAGCTATCCCCAAGCACCACTATCTGGAACCTGCTTGTGAGGTACAACCAGAATCACTCCAATACAGTGCCTTCGATTCCCAGACCCTCCAGGTATCTCCCCACATTTGTGAGTTTAATTATTTATTTTTAGCAGTGAAGTCTTCATAAAACCCACAGGCCATTATCGTGTCTTCTAAATCTTTTGATACAAAATTGTACACACCATTAATTTTCTGTACATACTTTCCCCGTGTGCTTATCCATTTAGTGATTGAGAAAGCCAGGACTGGCTCTGTTTCTCCATACCACAGAAGAGCAGAACTGGAAGTCGACACTTCAGTCCTGGAAGAGGAGGACAGGGGTAAGTAAGACTGAATTCTTATTCATTCCTCATAGCCTGTGCCTGACTGAACCACACGGAATCCTCCATATTCGCTAGGCACATTTTGCACAGGACCCCTGTGAAATAAGGATAGGATTGTTGTGGCCGAATTCACTTTCCATAGAAAGGGCTACAGATGACACAGCAACTGAAAATGAATAAAGCTTTTTTCTGGCCACAATAGGCACCGGGTCTTCCAGGTTCTAAACCAGGGGTGCACCCATCTAGAATGTGCAAGACAGAAATAATACATTTATAGTCATTCTCATTTAATTACACTGTATAAATAGGAGTTACCATGCAATGTACATTCAAACATATCCATTGCCTATGTAGTTACTTAATTATTAGAGCATTTTGATCAAATCAAACAAGATAAGATGTGGAGAAAAACATTGCAGTAGCAATGATATCTCTCTATGTAAGCTGCAACTGTCATTTTAAAAACAATTTATGCTACTTAAGAGTTCTATTTGAGAAAGGCAGTTCTAAGGTGATGGGAGGGCTGCTTTGGAGTAGTCCTCAAACTGAGCATGCTCGGTGCCTCAATGTCCAGAGCTGAATGCCTCAAGTTGCAGAAATGGCTTAAAGATGCAGCCAGCACAAAAATGTTTACATAGCATGTGTATGATTCCAGAACTTATGAACTATTTAAAAAACAAATGTTTCAGGATGTCTCAGCAATAAGTGAAACAAATACGATAAGGTAATCAGTATAGATTATTGTAATCTGTCAGTGTTGAATTACCTCTGTCTTGATCACTGTCCTTGCAGAAAGGGAGCTCAAAATAACATATAAAAGGCAAGCTACGCCAGAGGAGAGTAGAAAATCGTCGCTGCAATATCCAGAAATTAAAACCTTTTTGCCACCATTACCTGGCCTTGAAGATTTTGAGAGACATGCACAGAGAAAGAGTGGTAAGCATAGATATTTTGGGGAAAGTTGTGTGTGGGGCTGTGTGGCTTGAAGAGTGAGAGGATGACAGAATCCAAATTGAGGCAGTGAATAAAGGTAAAAGTGTATGGCAGAAAGAGCAGAAATCAAGAGGAAAACATTAGCCCTGTAGTTAGCAAAGTTTTGTCAGTCTTCTTTGAAGTGAGATGTTCACATACAGGAATACCTGGGACTGAAATTTGAGGACAAAAAGACAGTAAATAATCTACTAATGATGAGGATTACAACAAAAGACTGTTAGGACTGTAAATGCAGTATCAATTGCACCAGCTTTCAGTTTCCCACTTCCACCATGGAGTGGGTGAGATACTCTTGGGGAGACTGCTACTTATTTCCAGAAGCTTTAGGGCCACATCATACCTTACTAAGGTCTTTTTTCATACAGGATTCAGTTATTCAAGTCCCTGTATCCTATTTTCCATTCAGAGACTAAGGTCAAGATCCCATATTGGCCCAGCTTATCTGTTTTGAACATCTCTCTCTCTATGAACCACTATGGAGTTTAGGATCATCTGGGGAGGCCCTGGAATGCTTATGTAAGCCCCAATTTTTCAAACAAAAAACTCAAACTCAAACACTTGCAGAGCTACTAGTTAAGTGTGCATAAACCCCAACAAGATCCCACCTTTCTTCTTTTGCTGAAAGGTATAATCGGATGTCTGATACTCTCATTTTAACTTCCTAAGCTTCTGTCATCAATGTTTGGCCAATTATTTCTCAAATGTTTGCTTTTAGCTGAGGTAGATAAGGAGGGGTAAGTGAAGAGAGTTTTGCTTCATTAATTTCTTGCTGCAATTCTTTGGAAGTTCTCACTTGTGGGAGATATTATGCGTTCAAAAATGCTCAGCAAACCCAGTAGGCACGCAGGCTTCTGTCATGTAAAAAAATTATCTGGATAACATATAAGAAATTTAGCACATAGAAAAGTGAGAAATTGAAGTAAAATAATATAGTTATGAGAAATGATTTGGAAAGGGCATGAATAATAAACGAACCTTTCCACATGTACTAGAGGAAGTTGGGTTCAAGGAAGAAGCCCACTGAAAAAGCAAGTGTCAAAAATAGGACAATGGGTTGCATACCCTCTAATACTCAAGCTAAAACTAGTCCCAGACTCCAACTGATATAGTAATATTGTTCAGATATTGCTGTGTAATTCTGATTTAGTACAAATTCTCTACAATCAAATCTGAATAGTATGTTAGTATAGACAAGGACTTCAAAAACCATAAAATTATTAACTTAAATCTACCATTGTTTTTTTCCAGTGGATCTTGCTCTGCAAGAAATACTCAATTTCAACAAGCTTTTAGGACAGAAAGTAAATCTTCAGCAAGCACTGCAAATTGCTCAGCAACAGTTACAACAACAACAACAGCAACAACAGCAACAACAGCAACAACAGCAACCTTATACGAGTACTATGGGTAGGTCATAAGTTAATGATACCACTCTCTACAAAGGCAGCCTTGAAGTTCATTATGTAGGATTTCTTTTTTTAATTGGGTGACTACAGTAATCTATATATATAAAAATGCTCTGTGCATAATGAGTACCTTAAAAACAAAAGAACCAATGAACGAAATAGCACCAAATTTGGCAACAAAACATCTCACAACACAAGGAGTGACCATCACTCAAAAAATTATGATTTTGTCATTTGGGAGTTGTAGTTGCTGGCAGGGCCGTAGCCAGAAAAATTTTTTGGGGAGGGTTGACAATTTTGGGGGGGTTTGAAAATTTCGGGGGGGGGGGGTGTCAACCACCTCCACCAAGTCTGGCCTCTTTAATGAGAGCATTCAACACACACACACCCAACTTGGTTGCTTCGCTACATCAGCTATTGCTGCAAGTAATGACAGTGTGAATAAATTGTCAATATTTGCTTGAGATAGTGCTTGCAGTTCTGGAGGGACTCTTAATTTTTTGCATCTCATAGACTTAGCATGGGGATTTGGTTAACCAGTTAAAATTCATGAGTAAACCAGGTTTTTTTAAAAATCTGAAACATTTGGGGGGGGTTGAACCCCTAAAACGATTTTGTCATTTGGGAGTTGTAGTTGCTGGGATTTTTAGTTCACCTACAATAACAAAGAGCATTCTGAACTCCACCAATGATGGAATTGAACCAAACTTGGGTCACAGAGCTCCCATGACCAACAGAAAATACTAGAAGGGTTTGGTGGGCATTGACCTTGAGTTTTGGAGTTGTAGTTCACCTACATCCAGAGAGAACTGTGGACTCAAACAATGATGGATCTGGACCAAACTTGGCACAAATACTCAATATGCCCAAATGTGAACACTGGTGGAGTTTGGGGAAAATAACCTTGACACTTGGGAGTTGTAGTTGCTGTGAGTTATAGTTCACCTACAATCAAAGAGCATTCTGAACTTCAGCAACGACGGAATTGAACCAGTCTTGGCACACAGTTCTCCCATGACCAACAGAAAATACTGGAAGGGTTTGGTGGGCAGTGTCCTTTGGTTTTGGAGTTGTAGTTCACCTACATCCAGAGATCACTGTGGACTCAAACAATGATGGATCTGGACCAAACTCTACATGAATACTCCATATGCCCAAATGTATACACTGGTGGAGTTTGGGGAAAATAGAATCTTGACATTTGGGAGTAGTACTTGCTGGGATTTATAGTTCACCTACAATCACACAGTACTCTGAACCCCACCAATAATAGAATTGGGCCAAACCTCCCACACAGAACCCCCATGACCACCAGAATGGGCCACAGCAACGCGTGGCAGGGGACAGCTAGTTCTATTTAAAATCAAAATAACTCACAATACTTGTAGAATATTTCAGCCATCAAATAAATAGCCAGTAACTTTTATTTTGAGAATATGCATTATGTTCTAACCAGTTGATTTTAAAGACTTGAACTTCAACATCTTCAATAACTTGTTCAAGGACTGACTTCAGCACTTCGGTTCTGCAAAAGTGGCCTGTGTACATTTAGACAATTTCAATTTTCAAAATATAAAATCATTCTGCACCAGTTTTTGTGCAAATATTTTAACATGTTCTTCTAATATTATTATACTTTAAGCCAGTGGTTCCCAACCTGTGATCCGTCAACCACCAGTGGTCCACAAAAAAGAATATATGGTCTGCTGCGTCATTGTTACAACACCATTGTAAGAAGAGCGACTGGTCTCGCGAAACCCTCTTACGGTGCCAAGGCAGATTAAGCATGGTTTTCTGTGAGCAAGCAGATGGCAACTACTGGGTGGCATATGTTCTATATCAGAAACTAGAGTTGATGTGGTCTATCCAATGCAATTTTCTGAATCAGCACCCCAATTAACCATACCGAATCTAAGGTTGACTAAAAACTAATTCATAACCCTTTTGGTATTAATGTTGGAGATGGTCCCTGGTCAAAAAAATGGTTGGGAACCACCGCTTTAAGCAACATTATTTTGAACTTGCAAATAAGCCTGGGAAGTGGCTGTCTTAAAAATGAGACAGAAAAGGATGAAGAAAGTGAAATCAATATTTCAAAGACATGTAGCATCAGCAATGGAGCATCAAAAGGTTATGGCATGCAAAGCAATTTACCTGTAGAGAGAGAGGGGGGGGGGCACTTGTTCCATCCAAATGATGTACTTTATACTTGGTCTTTATATCTTATTGTTATGTTCTAGCTATTAATATGCCACCAGATATTTTGAAACACAAATTTGATTTTTTTAAATGTTTCGTTTGATTTGTACATTTTTAAACATAAACCTCCAGGAAGTTCAACAGTTTCTGTGTCAAAGCAAATGGTTTTCTTCAACATGGCTCTGCCTTATTAGAACCCTTATGGTCACTTTTTAACTTTTCTCATTCACTTTTATAAAAGCAATCACATAACTGGTTTCACACTCACTGGGGTGTATCACAAGTAGAAAGGTTTCTACTGGTAAAACCAGTATCTCCACACAGAAACAGCCTAAGGACGTAAGTGCCATTACCTTTAATGAACAACGTGCCATTACTTTTAAGTTGGACCACCTTAAGAACAGGTTGTTTGTCACCAAGGACTTGACAGAACCGCTGATGAACTTAGTACCCACTGATGAGCCCTCTCATGCCCGGAGGGACCTGGAGAGAGGCCCTGTTGTCCATCTACTACTGATGAATGAGGACAAGATCACAGCCACATCTCCAATACTACTCTTGGAACCTAGGAGGGCTAACAACACACCCCCTCCACATGAACTGGAGATGTGATTATTAAGTAATAATAAAATCTAATAGTGTACAATTTTATTCTTTTTACGAAATGTATAAATATATTTTTTAATTATTTTAGAATGATTATGTTCCCTCTCTTCCTCTCCCTTCTGCTCTCTCTCTCTCTCTCTAACACACTGATTTGTTGTTTTTTTAATTTATAGCTGAAAAGATCAGAAAGATATCATTAACTCCCCAACCTCCTGGCACAACTAGATTCCATGAGTACACTACTCAGCCCTCAAGACCAGGTAATCTAAGGAAGTTTACTTTTACAATACTACAGAACATTAAGAGTTGTAATTATTAGGAATAACTATTCCTAATGGATAAAATAGAAAATATACATTTATTTGTCATAGCACAATTAAAGCCTGGTGCCTGAATGGTAGAGTGGGGAATTAGGCTGTGAGTCAAATGAGAGAATTACAGAATTGGAAGAGGACTCATGGACCACCAGCTCCAACCTCCTGTTCAACCCAGTTCTCCAGCTAAAGCAGACCCTTTTGGAAGATGTGCAGAGAAAGAAACCACACAGTCTCTAGGCCAGGCGTTCTTAACCAGAGGGCCACAGACCTCGGGGGGGGGGGGTTGGGGGTTGGGGAAAGATTTCAGGGGGATTGTTGGAGATGTAAAGGACAGAAAAGTACCTTTTTATGCCTGGTGGGCCTGCAAATTGGTACAAACATTTTGGGAAAAGTGATTAAAGAAAAAAAA